CCGCGCTGCCTGGAGGGTGAGAGGTGGGGTGGGGGGTGGGGCGTGCTTCCGGAAACAGAAGCAGGAGCCCAGGGTGTAATCGAGCCTCGAACCTGCTCCAGCTCCTGCACCCCGGGCTTCCTTGAGCCCCAGCAGGCACCACATCCTTGAACCGTGGCATTGAACCACCCCCAGGAGCCTGCAAAAGTTAGAAAAAAGGAACTGAGGCCCGGTGAGATGGAACAGCAGGCGGGAAGCTGGTCTTGTCCACGGCTGGCCTGGGGTGGACCCTCGGGACCCCGTGTGTTTCCCCAAGCCCAGCCAGGAGTGACCCCTGAGCACAGAGCCGGGGGTAAGCCTGATCCTGCCAGTGTAGCCCTAAAAGTGGAATGAGTCAATCCGGAAGCAAAAGGTGGAAAGACAGGCCGGGCCCAGGAGCCGAGCTCTGCACCGGGGAAGGTGCAGCCTGAGAAGCCGCGCGGGTGCCATGGCCAAGACAGCCCAGGAGCAGGGCAGGGAAAGCACAGTCGGGGCGGGGCGGCGAGCACGGCTGTTGACCATCAGGGCCTTTGGGGGTGAGGTACGTTCCTGGAGGGTTGGCAGTTCCCATGTGTTAAAGGGTCCCCTCCCCCTCCCCCCCAACCACCACAGGGAAGGGGACAAAGATAGGGAACTGATTTGCCAATAACATTTGGATACAAAAGCTCAGCAGAACCGGAGAGCAGCCCTAGGGCAGCTCTGACCTTGGCCACCTCCTCCTCCCAGCCTGAGCCCCAAGGCCACTGCGCTGCTCTCCAGCCTCTTTCTGCTGCGGGAAGGCCTCCTGCTGCCCGCTGACTCCTGCCCAGTTTGCTCTCCTGTCCCTCCTCCACGCTCACAGCCCCCAGCTGCATCGAGGCTCCTCTGAGAGAGAGAGGAAACTGAGGCAGTGGGAACTCAGCCAACTCCGAGGCCGCCAGCTAGTGATCTGTAGAGTTCAGTGTCAAATTGTTTGGTTGGCTTGGGGTTTGGGGGCCACACCTGGCAGTGACCAGGGTCTACTTCAAGCTCTGTGTTCGGGGGTCATTCCAGTGGTGCTTGGGGGACCCAGCAGAACCGGGGATCAACCCGGGGTCTGCTGCATGCAAGGCTCATGCCTTAATCTCTCCAGCCGCGCTACGGATTTTCCAGATATCCTTGGCAGTGTTTAGGCCTTCTTCCTATCTCTCCTTACTCCTGGCTCATGGACTGGTATGTGGTCCTGGGGTGACGGAACCACGACGGGCTCCACACGAGGCAAGGACCTTCACCTGGTACTCCCCAGGTAGCCCCACAAATGACTATTTGAAGCGTCCCGAAGGGTACGGCTCTGGGGAAGTAAGAACATTCAGTTGCTGCTCGTCTCCTTGGGGCCTCTCCCAGCAGTGCTCGGGGTGATCCTGGTAGTGCCTGGGGGGCCGTATGTGGTGGTGAGGGTTTGAACCAGGGTCAGCTGCATCAAGGCAAGCACCTCCTGTTCCAGCTCTGTGGCCCCAAGAGGAGTCACAGACTGTCACCCGGCCTCACCATCTTTCTACGAGAACTAGACAAGTCGCAGGCACCCTGGCCACAAACACTGGATCCCAAACTGAGCCCTGTGCCCGCTAACACTCGTTCCTCCTCCTGCTCCCGCGGCCCCTGGGCCCCTCTGCCGACCCCCTCGAGGAGGCACGGGGACGGCTGCCCTCACACGTGTCATTGCCCTCACCGCGGGCAGGTTGGCGGTGGAACGCCCTTCTTTTCTAGAAGGCCGGTGTCAGTTGGTTGTGTGTGTTGTGGGGGTTGGGAGGGCAGGCACGTGGCGTTTCTCCAGTTAGCTGCTAATCCCTCTTGGGTCCCGTGAATTGTGCGGTGGCGAACACAGGGTGCTAGCCTCTCTGAGACCCCACTTGCACACAGCCAGCGTGGAACGGCAGATGGAACAGGAATTCCGTTTCATTGTTTCCGGCAGCTCCCTTTTGCTTTTACAGGGCTGAAATTCCAGGCCACACCATCTTCCCCCTTCAGTCCTGGATGCTGGGGGCCAGGGAATGACCGTGACAGTGGCGCAGCGGGGCCAGTCGCCTCGAGTGGAAGTGAAGCTGCACCGGAAGTCACTGCACTCGCCTGCACCCAGAGCGTGTGGGAGGGAGGGAGCAAGGGTGCACCCAGACCCCATGCCTGTGCCACCGGCCGGCCGCGCCGGGTGTCTGCTGGCCTCCCATTCTCCGTGAGGCCGGTCCAAGGCCCCAGGGGCAGGGCAGGGGGCGGAAGGAGCAGGAAGGCCAGACGTTATTAGGTCTAGGGAGGAAGCCACTTGGCCCAGCGAGGCAGAGCCACCCCATGCCCAGGTGCCCGGGAGCCTGGTTTCTCCTCATGGGCGACCTGCTTCAAGGGCCAAGACAGCAACCCCACCCCAGAGCCCCGGGGGCGCTCCTGCCCCACACGTGGCCGCCTAGAGGGCCCTTCGGCCAGCCAAGCACCACACAGAAGACCCTTCACACAACACCCAGTTTCCACCACACAGAAGACCCTTCACACAACACCCAGTTTCCACCACACAGAAGACCCTTCACACAACACCCAGTGCTCCAGGCTTCCCAGTTGGTCATCGAAAGGCTCTGTGGTGGCCAAGAGGGTTGACAACAGCAGGGGACATCAGCACGTGGCACTAGGCAACCAGTTTAGTGTATTGTTAGTGAGTCATTGACTTGGGGCATCACCTGGTGGTCCTTGGGGGACCAGGTAACGCAGAGATTGAACCCCGACTTTCTGAATGCAAAGTCTGTGTTGCAGCCCCAGAAGGGTATCCTGCGGAACACCAACACCCCCACCACTGCGAAGCAAAGACTATACCCACAGGCTGTGTGGCCACAAGCCGGACCTCTCAGCTGACTGGGCAGGACCGGCGCTCGAAAGCCAAGGGAACAGGAGCAGGAGACGGCCCAGGAGGAGCCTGCCCGGCAAGCGTGAGTCAGGGGTTCAGCGTCCAGTGCCATGGCGCATGCTGAGTATGGCCCTCACGGCTCTGTGGCCGAGATCCCTGTGTGCCGGCCAGCCCTCAGCCGTGTTACGTGAGCCCTGCAGCACAGACCGGCAGTCCCAGTAAGGGAGCACTGCACCCCCCACAGGGCACCCCCGGTCAGTCCCCGGCAAGCACCATCATCACACAGCTCTCTTAGTGCAAAATCAACTGAACAGAGAGAAGGGGGAAGAGTTGAGGGCAGGAGACAGACAAGCAACCGACAGGTCAAGTCATGTGTGCGCACATACGCGTGTAACATGAGGCATGAGTTAAACTCACAGGTTCACGGGCTGACCTTGGGGGGCGGAGAGGGCAACCCCCAGGCTGAACCCGCATCACCCCCTGCTGTCACCCGACTCCAGGTGTTGACCCGTGGCTGCCACAGTCCAAGCCTATCAGCGGGTTGGAGAGAAAGAAAGAGCGAGTACAGTGGCAGCACCAGCCCAACCTGGGTTCGATCCCGGGCTCTGCAGACAGTCCCCTGAGCCCCACCAGGAATGATCTCTGAGCAGAGCCAAGAGCAAGTCCTGAGAATCCCAGTGTGAGCAGCAAATGAAAACGAACAAATCCCATCAGGCCCACAGCAAGGGGAAAGACAGGCAGACTGTCCCCCACCGCCAGCATGAATCTTGGGGAGCAGCAATGAACGGAAGGAGCAATCCAGTGATCTAGAGTTCTTACACAAAAGGGGCGCCAGCAAGAAGTCAAAGCCCTCCCCCACAGTGCCCTGGCCACAGACTCTTCTCTGCAGAGAAAGTCCCACGTGGTTTGGGAAATTCCTATAAAACCAATGTCACAAAGCAAGTGGGGTGCAGGCCCCCGTGGGGCGTCAGCGTCTCAGCTGGGGGTGTGTGATGGCGCTTTTCCACCATGGGCAATCCTCGGCTCTCTCCCTGTGGAGAAGCCCGTGCTCTCTCTTGGGTGCATAACTTGATCTGCCTCCTCCTCGTCCCCCAACGAAAACCATTTCATGCCTGGAACTCTTTGGGTTATTATTTTTTTGACTCACACCCAGTGGTGCTCGGGCCTTCCTCCTGGCCCTGAGCTTAGGGATCACTCCTGGCAGGGTCAGAATTAGGGGTGTTGGAGAATGAACCTAGATCAGCCACGTGCAAGATAAATGCCCTGCCCGCTGGCCCCTCTGGCTGAAATTCTTTTTGGCAGAAGTACAAAGAACCCGGGTACCCGCGGGGGGGTCAGACCCATTTCAGCACCACCCTGCACTCAGGCTGCTCATGGCTCTGAGAACTCTAGGGTTGGGGAGAGACTCCCACCCACGCAGACCAAGCGGACCTGGGGGACAGTGGCACTTCCGGACAGAGGCCACCATCTTCCTGGCCGCTCCACTTCTCCCAGCCTCATTTAGGGAAACATTCAGGAGACTGAGGATTACAGAACACACCTCCCGCCCCCACATCCGCGCAAGGAACAGGCTTGAATGGGACACTGGATTGGTCCATGTTCTGTTTTGGGGGGGGGGTGGGGGGATACTTGACAACGCTGAAGGGTTAGTCCTGGCTCTGCACTCAGGAATTATACTGGGCCGTGCTCCGGGGAACAGGGGATGCCAGAGATTGAACCTGGGTCAGCCATGTGCAAGGCTAACGCCCTACCTGCTGAACTACTCTTGCTCTGGTCCTAACGTTTCCATTTTGTTTGGGGGCCAGACCTAGCAGTGCCTAGGGCTCACTCTATGGGGTTCCAGGGAACAAACCCAAGTTGACCAAGTTCAAGGCCCTACTCGCTGTACTCTCTGGCCCCTCAGCCCATGTTCTCGTTCTTTTGGGTGACACCCAGCCCCGTAGCAACTCACACCCTGGACTGGGGGGTGCACCCCTCATTGCTTCTTGACCAGGGCACCTAAGGGCGCAGCGACTGTGAGGCCGGCTTGAGCCCGGCCACCTCAAGCCCAGGGTCAGTTCCGGGAAGTGTGCCGTCGGGCCCGAGGCTACTTGCCCAGTGCCCGCAGACAGACAACCATGAGCTGGGTGGAGGTCCCCACATTTTATTAGAATTTTCCGTTACAGAAAAGTGCCAAGGAGAACACACCCAGGTGGTGCCTCCAAAGTGAAGTGGCTGAGAGCAGAAGCTCTCGGTCCCCAATACTGAGGGGGGCGTGGGGGTGTTGAACACTGTGACGGCAGAAAGGCTGGCGCGGGAGAGGCCCGTTCAGCTTGCCTTGCCCTCGCGTGTCAGCGTCTGCAGAGGGTTCAGGTTGGTCAGGAACAAGAAGGCAAAGTGGAACTGCAGCACGTCGCAGACTTTGGACCAGAAGTGGCCTGTGAGCCGCTGGAAGAGGGGCCAGTGCGCGAGCTGATGGTCACACAGCTTGAGCCCGACAAAGCCCAGGCAGGAGAGCACGGCCAGAGCCAAGTAGGTGGCGGAGGTGGCGCTGCCGTGGCGCCCCTGAGTGCGCAGGGCCTGGCCCACGGCGGCGGCGATGTGCCCGGCCAGCGCCAGCTCAAAGCCTTGGGCGTGCAGCAGAGCCAGGCCGTAGCTGCACAGGGACAGACACTCGAGGCCGAGGAGGCACCAGGGCCGCCAGCCCCTGTCCAGGTAGAGGCACCAGGCCACCGGCCACGCGAAGATCGGCAAGGTGACCCACTGGTCGAGCAGGGCGGCCACACGAGCCTGGGTCCCGATGCGCAGCCACTGCACCGGGCCATAGAGCAGGGCCATGGACGCGAAGACATGCTGCAGGTACCGTGTCCCGCGCGCTGCGAGGTACCTGGGGCCGCTGGGCCCCCTCTGCAGCCAGTACCAGCCCAGCAGCACGTAGGCCACGTTGATGAGGGAATTGAAGGGCATAGCCAGGAAGGCGGGCAGGCTGGCCACGGGCCGCTCGGCATAGTGCTCGAAGCCTACTTCGACAGAAACCCCTTCAAAGACGCCCGTGCAGATGATGGCTAAGCACAGGCTGGTGGTCAGAGCCACGTGCGCCAGGGCCGGGCCCCACTCAGGCTTCATCGTGGCCCGCGGAGCTCCAAGGGGCAGCCGCTCGTTCAGAGAAACGCTGTTTGCCAAACCTCGTTGGTCTCCGGGCTGAGCCAGCAGGAAGACGCCCCGTGACTTCCGAGGCGCGGGCTCGACCTGCGGGAAGAAGGCAGGCACGCAGCTGATTGGCTGGCGAGGGCGGCCGGCTGCCCGTTTCCTGTGTGGTTAGAGAAAAACCCACCGGAAAAGAGCCTCGGGCTCCCTGGCCCTCCCCTCAGGGCCTGTCCGTCAGTTTCCAGCACAAGACACAGAAATCCAGGCATGCCCTCGAGAAGATTCTCTGGCCTGACCATTTTGTGTCTGCCCCCCCATCCCCGTGGCTGGAGTCTGTCAGAGCAGGTGCCCACGCACATGTGGCCCCTGACCACAGCAGTTCTCAACCATGGCTGATCGTCCTTTCTGTTTGTTCTGGGGCCCCCACACACTCAAGGTGTGCTCCACGGCTGAGCCGCCTCCTTGGCCCCCAGCGCTGTGCCCAGGTGAAGAACAGCTGTCAGACACGGTCGGAGGAAGTGGGGAGAGGGGAGTAGAGGGAGGGCGGGGAGGCCTTATCGGCACCCGCACCTGCCTGCGCCAGTGAGGGTAGCAGGATGGGGGCGAGGGGGGAAGGGTTCCCAAAGGAGGGGGCGGACCTTGCCTCCCAGCTGTGCGACTTTGGCCCTCCTGGCTTGGGGTCCTTCACCCTCACGCCGCAGCCCATTGTGTCTTGGCTGCTAGGTCCCACCAGCCAGCACCCCCACCCCAGGAGCTCTCTGGCCCCTGCCCACCCTAAGTCACTTCCTCTGGGCACTTCCTGGGTGGCAGGTCAGCAGAGGGTTCCAGGAGAGCCTCCACAGAGCCTTGGCCCTGGGGCACGGCTCCTCGAACAAGAGGGGGCCACTCTCAGCGCTCCCAGTGTCCCCAGTGCCTGGGCCTTCGGGGCCCTGCGAAACATCTCGAAACATCTCCACCTCGGGCCTCAGCACCAGGCCCTGCCCTTGCCTGAGGCACGCATGAAGGGGGTACCACCTGCTGTTGAGGATCTGTGGTTTCCCCCTTCCGGCCTTTTTACAGATAAGGGCACCACCCACTGCCCAGGGGCCCAGCAGGTGAGGTCAGACACCTGGAACTCAAGGGGCCTGGGGCAACAGCGGTGAGCGGGAACCCTGGATAGAAACTTCCTGTGTGCCACCAGGCCCATGGCAAGGAGTCCAGGGACTGGGGCCAGCTGAGTGCGGTGCACAGCAAGGTCATTCAGGACACTTGGTAGCCTGGCCCAGTGGCCCCAGCCCGTTGGCACGGCTCACATGAACGCTTCCAAATGTACCCCCTGAAGCCCGGAGAGCTACAAGAGAAAGGGACCGAGTGGCAAGTGGTTGAGCAAGGCTTGAGCTTGTAGGGCGGGTGTGAGGGTTTCTCCCAGTGTTTGCGAGACTCTGGCTACCAGGAGGCCCGATTCGGTGAAGTGGATTGCGAGACAGTTACAAGGCAGGCGGGATGCTCGGGAAAGCCGTTATTCGGTCGCGTGACCTAGGCGGCCGGGGAGCGCGGGCCGGGCGCACCGCTTCCCGCCACTGCCACTGCCGGCGGGCCGGGCGGAGGGCGGAAGATGAAAGGAACGTGAAACGAGCCGGAGACGGCGGGGAAGTCATCGGTCGTCGCTGCCAGATCCCCGCCACGGCGTGCGAGCGCCCGAGTGCCTGGCGGCGCGGGGTCAGGCCGCCCCGGCGAAGCGGCGGGTGCGCGGCCGAGGCCGGGGCCCACCTCCCCAGGTGGTGGCGAGAACTTACAGTATTGGCGCGAAAAGGCCAGCGATCAGCATCCGGGGATTTGGCCTCCCCGGCAGGGCTGGGGAAATTCAAATCTCAAAAAAGGGCGGACCCGAGAGGCCGGCGTGCGCCTGCGCGCGGGGCGGGGCGCGGGGCGCTGGGAAGCGGGTGACGCGGGCCGCTCCCGCGGGCGCCCGGCCGGCTCCGGCGCCGCGAGCCTCGGCGGCCCGCCCGGCCCGTGGGGCGCGGGGCACGGCTGGGCGCGCGGCGGCCCGGGGCGTGTCGGGGGGCGCGGGGACCGGCCGGGGGCGGCGGGGCGGGGCGGGGCCTGCAGCCTGGGAGCCTGGGAGCGGCGGCGGCTCCGCCCCCCGCGCGTGCGCCCGACCGCGTCACCGCCCGCCGTCGGCCCGCCTCCCGCCCGCCTCCCGCCGGCCCGTGGCGGGGCCCCGCCGCCTCTCCCGCCGCGCCCGGGGCGCGGAGCCCGCCCGCGTCGGCGCCGGCAGCCCCTCTCCTGCAGCCCCGGCCCCCGTCCCCGCTGTCAGCCCAAGGGAGTCCGCGGCTCGGTGGCGCGAGGCGCGTTCCCAGCCCAGGGGGGCGGGGCCCAGCTCGTGGGAGACATTTCCATCCGGGCATTCCCCAGATGCCCCAGCCGCCGCCGCCATCTTTGTTTTGTGCTGAAAGTTGCTATTGACGCCCGCGGACGGCCGGGCGTGGGGAAGTGGCAAGATGGCGGCTCCCAGGGCGGAGGCGTGGAAGCGCGCCCAGGGGGTCCTCGGGGCTGGGCGCGCGTGCGCCTGACCCGAGCACGGCCCGCACCTCGGTCGAGAGCCCCGCGGCGCCGGCTCGTGGCCGAGACGGCCCGCCCAACCCCCACCCCTCAGGGACCCTTCAGAGGCCCGGGCTCGGCGGGGGGGCGGAAGAGTGCGAGGGCGGGAGAGAGGGCGAGAACAGTGACGTCACCTGACACCGCCCCCTCGCCCGACCGTCGCCATGTTTAGTTGTTACTTCTTTGCACAAGATGGCGGCTCCCAGGGAGGAGGCATGAGCGCCCTGCCGTTACCGCTCCTCCTGCCGTACAGTTGCCAGTGCGGGGCCTAACTCTGGCACTTGGGGGCGGCTCCGGTGGGACCGAGCTATCGGGAGGAAAGTAAGGACCGGACGCCGTCTCGCCTTGGGTCTGCAGTGGAAGAACTGACCCAGGAGGAAGAGAATAGGGGGGACGGAGGTGCTAGCCTCAAGATGGCGGCTCCCTGAGCGGCAGAGGCGGACTGAGGGGAGCGCTTCGCCAGCTCCGAAGCCGTACGGCGTGAGCCCCGCAGCCGGCCCTCTCCGTCGAGCGCCGGAGCTCGTTCCGCGGGTGACAGGCGCGCCCCTCTCCCTCCCGCGTGTCGAGCCTGTTTGGGGAGCGGCACGGTCTCAAGATGGCGGCTCCCACAATTGTGGTCTGAGCGCCGGCGGGGCTGAGCCGAGCGCGGCGCCGGTGGCTCCTCTCCACCCGCCCCGGAAGCCGGCCAGAGCCGGAGACTCGCGGCGGGGGGGAGTGTGTGTGTGTGTGGGAACCGGGCCGGGGCTCCGCCATTTCCGGCGGGGGAGGGCTACGACTGAGGAAGGGAGGAGAGAGAGGCGGCTCAAGATGGCGGCTCCCAGGGCCGCCCGCCTCGGCGTGTGAGCGGGAGCGTCCGAGCGGGAAGTGCGAGCGCCGGCGTGCGGCCGCCCGCGCCCGCGTGCGCCTCGACGCTCGGCGTTTCGACGAGGCTCGGCGGGCCCGGGCAGAGCGAGGAGCGGGGGAAGAGGCGTCGGGGCGGAGGGCAGTTAAGATGGCGGCCTCCATGGGCCGGTCAGCCGCGGTGTGAGGAAGCGCTTCTGTGGGAGAGCTGCCTCAGAGCCGAGGGGGTGTGTGTGAGGACTAGCGGGGGGCTCCCGCCTCGCCTCGGGACTCTTTCCCGCCGCGCCCTGCCGAGGAGCCATGGCGTCGGCCTTGTCGCCCGCCAACTCGCCGGCGGTGCTGCTGCAGCCGCGCTGGAAGCGGGTGGTGGGCTGGTCGGGCCCCGTGCCGCGACCCCGCCACGGCCACCGCGCCGTGGCCATCAAGGAGCTCATCGTGGTGTTCGGCGGCGGCAACGAGGGCATCGTGGACGAGCTGCACGTGTACAACACGGGTGAGTCGGGGGCCGGCGAGGGGGCGCGCCCGGCGGGCACCTGTTGCGGCGCCCCCGGCCGCGCGAGCCGTTAGCTGCGGGGCGCGCCGGGCGGGAAGCGGGGCGGGGGGCGCGGGCTTCCGCGGGGGTGTGACCCCGGCCTGCGGGCGCGGGGCAGCGGCTGCCCTTGGCCTCGGGGGTTTTCTTCTGAGGCAAAGCCGATTACCCCGCGGGGCGGCTGCGGGCCGGGCGCTCCCGGCGCTTCCCTGCGACGCCCGCGTCGCGCTGCTCGGGAAGAAGACGCCCGTCTCCCGTTAGTTGGCATCCGGGCGGCGGGCTGGGCGCCGAGCCCTGGCAGGGGGGAATCGGCTGCCACCCAGGAAGTGGCCCGGCGGAAGCTGCAGCTGCCGGAGCCTGTCGGCTCGCACCCCGCCGCTCGGGTGGTGACGCACTAGAGGTTGACAGGACGGCGGCAACCGCAGGCCGAATGGGGGGGGGGGGGGGGCGGGATCCGAACCCGGGCCGGGCCCGGGCTGCGGAGGGAAGCGGGGCTCATCGTCCTTCTGGGGGGCGCAGAGCGCGGGCCCGAACTTGCTCCCGGGGCCCCTGGGGCCCGCAGCCCGCGCCTGCCTGTGGGCGCCCCTCTAGCGGAGCCAGCGAGAACAGGACTCAGGGCGTCTCCCTCCCTCCCTCCCGCTTTCGGCTGGAACTTGGCTGACTCTCCGAGGCGAGGCAGCCGGCGGCCAACCCACCCCATCTGCAGGGGGTTCGCCTCTGCATTTCCTGGGCTGTGTTTGCGCCGGGTGCGTGTGCGTGTGCCCAGGGCGGCGGGGCTCCTCGACGACCAGCCCCGGTGACTCAGCTAACAGCCCCCCGCCCCCGCCCCGCTCTGACCGACCTGGCCCGTGGGGCCTGGGGGAGCCCGGCCGGGGAGGGCCACTGGTCGGCTCCCCCTCGGGAGGCCGGCCCGGCACGTGCGGGTTACCTAGCACCCACAGTCACGCGGGCCAGACCAGCTGGGGGCTTCCCATCTGTTTGCTTGGGGGTCACCGAAACCCCGTCAGGTCAATGGGCCCTGGTCGGCGTGAGCTGCGGGCAGGGTGGTGGACGTTCTGCAGAGCACCCCTTACAGGCACTTCGTGGGAGACGGCACAGGACGTTCCCTTGTCTGTGACCGGCTCCGATTCAGTCCCTGGCACACAAGGGCTGCTGACCACCACCAGCAGCGACCCCGAGCACACAGCTGGCTGTAGCCCCTAAGCACCCCGGTTCAACAACATGGCCCCGTCCATGCATGTGTCTCTTTCCCCTTGAGGGGGCAGGCCGGACTGCAGCCGTGGGGCCGTGGACCCGGGGAACCTCGCGTTCCTGCCCTGTGGGCCTCCTGCTCTGTGTTCCGGGCTGGAAGGAGGGAGCGACCCTGTGGTTCTTCACTATGGAGACCTTAGAGATGGTCTCTCCGCCCTCCTCCAGCCAGTGAAGGGAGGGGCGGTGCCCGGGGGAGCAGTAGAGAGCAAACCCGATGGCATCATTCCCACTCGGCTGCAGGCCCTGAAGGGGGGCCACACTTCCAGGTCACTTCCCAGGTGGCGTCGGGTCAGGCTGGGGAGACAGTTCAGACAGAGGTAGTGACCTAGGCGGCCGAGGACAGGATCCTCCGGCCACGGGGTTCTGGCTTGAGGGGCTCCTGAGGTGTGACTCACGCTTCCTCCGGTCCTCAGCCACCAACCAGTGGTTCATCCCAGCTGTCCGTGGGGACATCCCGCCAGGGTGCGCGGCCTATGGCTTCGTGTGTGATGGCACGCGCCTGCTGGTGTTCGGAGGCATGGTGGAGTACGGGAAGTACAGCAACGACTTGTATGAGCTCCAGGTAAGCCCCTGGCCGGACTTGCCCCCGCTGCACCCCGCCGCCCGCACCCCCCACTCACGCCGAGCCTTGGTTTTGCAGGCCAGTCGATGGGAGTGGAAGAGACTCAAAGCCAAGACGCCCAAAAATGGGCCCCCTCCATGCCCGCGTCTTGGCCACAGCTTCTCTCTCGTGGGCAACAAATGCTACCTTTTTGGGGGTCTGGCCAATGACAGTGAGGACCCCAAGAATAACATTCCGAGGTAAGGCCGTGTGCTCAGATGGCCGGCCCGGGCTGTTGGTCAGGGGTCCCCCAGGAAGGCAGACTGAGCAGCCCTCTCCCCCAGGTACCTGAATGACCTGTACATCCTGGAGCTGCGGCCGGGTTCCGGAGTGGTCGCCTGGGACATCCCCATCACCTACGGGGTCCTGCCTCCGCCCCGGGAATCCCACACGGCTGTGGTCTACACCGAGAAGGACAACAAGAAGTCCAAGCTGGTCATCTACGGGGGGATGAGCGGCTGCAGACTCGGAGACCTCTGGACCCTGGATATCGGTAAGGAGGACTCTCGCGGGTGGGAGGCCCTGGCGAGGACGGGCCCTTGCGGCTGTTCCTGTGTCCGGACTGCTTGGTCCCGCTTTCAAGGAAGGGGGTGTGGCTCCGCAGCTCTTGGCGGTCCCCTCGTCCCGCAGGTTCGGGTGACACTCCAGAGCGAATGCAGCAGCGGGGAGTGGGGTTTGGAGGCAGCCCGGGTGTGGGGCTCCACAGGGCCCCTGGGTGCCGGGTGTTCATGAGTGTGACCCTTCTGCCTCCCTCTGCAGAGACCCTGACTTGGAACAAGCCCAGTCTCAGCGGTGTGGCACCCCTGCCTCGGAGCCTTCACTCGGCCACGACTATTGGAAACAAGTGAGTACCGGGGACCGAGAGAGCAGCCCGGGTCGGGGGTGCAGGATTGAGACATGGACTTGGGAGAAGCCCCCAGGGGCCCCTCTACAACCCTCTCCTGCTCTTCCTCCCTCGTCCCAGAATGTATGTCTTTGGTGGCTGGGTTCCGCTCGTCATGGATGACGTCAAAGTGGCCACACATGAGAAGGAGTGGAAGTGCACCAACACGCTGGCTTGTCTCAACCTTGGTATGGCCGCCTCGGCCCTGAGCGCTGTGGGGTGTCCCTGTGCATCTAGAACCTGCCGAAAGCAGCTGCCGGTGGGACCCCAGGGCCGAGCAGGCACGAGAGCACGGCCGCGCTTCTCTGAGGGGGCCGTGCACGGGGGCCGTGACCACCGCCGCATGGGGAAGGTGGGCGCTGCTGTGTGCAGCAGATTCCCGGCAGCCGCTGTAGCCCCAACCAGGCTTGTCCCCTCAACTCATCGCCGGGAACACCCTGCACCCTCCCCCAGGGACAGGGCGCCTCGTTCTTGGGCTCTGGTCCCGTGGGCCTCTCCCTGGCACAGAGACTGCTCCGTGAGTATCCTTGCACCATCCTGGCCCGGTGCAAGGGGAGTTGCGGGGCAGAGTCTGGCGGTGGGGTGCTGCCAGGGCCGTTGGTGCTCCGCTCAGGACACATCCCCACCGCCAGGCCGCGGAGGCTTCCGACTCGGGGCGGGGGCGCGGCATGTGCCTCTTCCATCTGTGTCCTGAGGGGTCTCTGTCCTTTTTCTGGTTCTGTCCCCGCGGAGTTTCGTTTTTTCCGTCCCAGAGACTCCCCGGTTTGAGTTCCAATTCCAGCAGACTCCAGGACCACTGCAGTTGGGGTTGTGTGTGTTCCGCTACGTGGGCTGACCTGCCTTCTGCCTCCCACCGCAGATTCCATGGCCTGGGAGACCATCCTCATGGACACGCTGGAGGACAACATTCCCCGCGCCCGGGCCGGACACTGTGCCGTCGCCATCAACACCCGCCTGTACATTTGGAGCGGGCGTGATGGCTACCGCAAGGCCTGGAACAACCAGGTGTGCTGTAAGGACCTCTGGTACCTAGAAACAGGTAAGATGCCACACCGCACCCCACCCCACACCACCCGACGCGCCTGGGCCTCACCGTGTCACACTGTCTTCCAGAAAAGCCGCCGCCCCCTGCGAGGGTGCAGCTAGTCAGAGCCAACACCAACTCCCTGGAGGTGAGCTGGGGGGCGGTGGCCACCGCCGACAGTTACCTTCTGCAACTCCAGAAATACGACATTCCTGCCACGGCCGCGACTGCCACCTCCCCCACACCCAATCCTGTCCCGTCTGTGCCTGCCAACCCCCCCAAGAGCCCGGCCCCAGCGGCTGCCGCGCCTGCCGTGCAGCCCCTGACCCAAGTAGGCATAACGCTCCTGCCCCAGGCAGCTGCCGCTCCCCCGACCACCACCACCATCCAGGTCTTGCCGACAGTGCCTGGCGGCTCCATTTCTGTGCCCGCCGCAGCCCGAAGTCAAGGTGAGCTGGTGTCGGTCGGGCAGGGCCGCCCGCGCGCCTCTGGGGCTCTGGGGCTCGGCTCTGCTCACCGTTGGCTCTCTGTCCCAGGTGTCCCTGCTGTTCTCAAAGTGACCGGTCCACAGGCGACGACAGGAACTCCCTTGGTCACCATGCGACCTGCTAGCCAGGCGGGAAAAGCCCCCGTCACCGTGACCTCCCTTCCTGCGGGTGTGCGGATGGTTGTGCCCACACAGAGTGCCCAGGGGACGGTGAGGAGCCTGTGCTGCAAGGGGCAGGAGGGCGCGACCCTGATCGACCGGGTTCCAGTCAGTGCCTGCTTCTTGCACGTTCCCCGTAGGGTTGGGAGCTGATTCAGTTGCGTTTTCCCGGGCCTTCCTGTCCCCGCGAGTCCGTCTTGGGAACTCCCGGCCCTGCAGCAGCCGAAGGCAGCCTTCTCCCAAGCCGGCTCGGACTCCCGGGTCTAAAAGACCCGGAGCTCGGGCAGGATGCTCCGTGGGGCTGGCAGTCAGGTGTGGGTGCCCGGGCCCTGCGGCCTCACCTCCCTGTGCCCGTCGTAGGTGATTGGCAGCAACCCACAGATGAGTGGGATGGCTGCCCTGGCGGCTGCCGCTGCAGCCACCCAGAAGATCCCTCCGTCCTCGGCTCCCACGGTGCTGAGTGTCCCGGCAGGCACCACGATCGTTAAGACGGTAGCCGTGACGCCTGGCACCACCACCCTCCCCGCCACGGTGAAAGTGGCCTCCTCACCTGTCATGGTGAGCAGCCACGGGGGTGGGACAGCACGTAGCCCTGAGCATCCGCTGAAAGCCAGGGTTCGGGAGCTGAGCGCCCCTCCAACTCCTGCCCGCCCTCCGCCCCAGGTGAGCAACCCGGCTACGCGCATGCTGAAGACTGCCGCCGCCCAGGTGGGGACCTCTGTCTCCTCGGCCGCCAACACGTCCACGCGCCCCATCATCACGGTGCACAAGTCCGGGACCGTGACCGTGGCCCAGCAAGCCCAGGTCGTGACCACGGTGGTGGGTGGCGTCACCAAGACCATCACCCTGGTGAAGAGTCCCATCTCCGTCCCCGGAGGCAGTGCTCTGGTGAGTGGCAGGTGCCGCCGTGCCCGGGCCGACTTGCTGGCAGGGGCCTTCGCCCAGGTTGCCCGCGTCACTCTCGGCTCCACCCTTCGCTTCGCAGATTTCTAATCTCGGCAAGGTGATGTCTGTGGTCCAGACCAAACCTGTTCAGACGTCCGCGGTCACGGGCCAGGCGTCCACGGGCCCGGTGACCCAGATCATTCAGGTGAGCTGTGCCCCGAGCACAAGGTCCTGGGGCGTGGGGGCTGGGAGGCACGGGAAGTCCTGCTCGCTCCCACCCTCGCTCAGGGCTAGAGCACGGGCCTAGGCCGCCTTACGGCCCCCCGCCTGTCTGCCCCTTACAGACCAAAGGGCCCCTGCCGGCTGGAACCATCCTGAAGCTCGTGACCTCGGCTGATGGCAAGCCCACCACCATCATCACTACCACGCAGGCCAGTGGGGCCGGGACTAAACCCACCATCCTGGGCATCAGCAGCGTGTCCCCCAGCACCACCAAGCCTGGCACGACCACCATCATCAAGACCATTCCCATGTCCGCCATCATCACGCAGGCCGGTGCCACGGGTAGGGGCTCCCCCATTTTCCTCCTTGCCGGGGCTTAAGCTCTGTGGGGTGGCAGCAGAGGGCGTGCAGCTAGGATGAGGTGCCCGGGGTTGAGGCCCAGCTGCCGCCTCCGTCCCAGCAGGTGTGACCAGCACTCCCGGCATCAAGTCCCCGATCACCATCATCACCACTAAGGTCATGACTTCCGGCACCGGAACGCCCGCCAAGATCATCACCGCTGTCCCCAAGATTGCCACCGGCCACGGGCAGCAAGGCGTGACCCAGGTGAGCTGCCCGCCGCTCAGCCCGGCATCCCTTCCCCCACCCCCTGCTGCTAGCCTGTGTGACCCTGGTGCTTCTGGTCGGTGTTCCAGGTGGTGCTGAAGGGGGCCCCGGGACAGCCAGGCACCATCCTGCGCACGGTGCCCATGGGGGGTGTCCGCCTGGTGACCCCCGTCACCGTGTCTGCCGTCAAGCCAGCTGTCACCACGCTGGTCGTGAAGGGCACTACAGGTATGTGGCTGCCAGTCGGCGGGGCGGGGGGAAGCTGCCCGTTCCCACTGGACGGCCGACTGCATTCTGCCCCACTTCTGCCTCTAGGTGTTACCACCTTGGGCACAGTGACCGGCACCGTTTCCACCAGCCTGGCCGGAGCAGGGGGCCACAGCACCAGTGCCTCCCTGGCCACGCCCATCACCACCCTGGGCACCATTGCCACCCTCTCAAGCCAGGTGATCAACCCCACGGCCATCACCGTGTCGGCCGCGCAGACCACGCTCACGGCGGCCGGCGCTCTCACCACCCCCACCATTACCATGCAGGTAGGGGCCAGGGCCTGCCTCCAGGTTCCCGCCGCTGCCTCTGGCCTTTGCTTGCAGCATCCCATCTGGAGGATGGCCTCCCAGGGATGACTTTCGTCGCCTGGGTCCTTGGCGCCCTGTGCAGAGGGTGCCGTGCTCTGCCTCTGCGTGTAGCTTCCCTCCTCCTGTGCCTCGTGACCGAGTCCCCTGGCGGCCTTGGGGCCTGGGGTCCTGGCTTTGCGGGGCCCACGTAGGGCGCAGGCGACAGGGATGGAGCTGCGTGCTCACCGGTCCACTCTCCTCTCCCCAGCCCGTGGCCCAGCCTACCCAGGTGACTCTGATCACAGCCCCCAGCGGTGTGGAAGCCCAGCCCGTGCATGACCTCCCGGTGTCCATCCTGGCCTCGCCCACGACCGAGCAGCCCACGGCCACCGTCACCATCGCCGACTCGGGCCAGGGCGACGTGCAGCCTGGCACAGTAACGCTGGTTTGCTCCAACCCTCCGTGCGAGACCCACGAGACGGGCACCACCAACACGGCCACCACTACGGTCGTGGCCAACCTCGGAGGGCACCCCCAGGCTCCCCAGGTGCAGTTTGTCTGTGACCGACAGGAAACGGCGGCGTCTCTGGTGACGTCGGCGGTGGCTCAGCAGAACGGCAGCGTGGTGCGCGTGTGCTCCAACCCTCCGTGCGAGACCCACGAGACGGGCACTACTAACACGGCCACCACCGCTACCTCCAACATGGCCGGCCAGCTCGGCTGCTCCAACCCCCCGTGCGAGACCCATGAGACGGGCACCACCAGCACCGCCACCACTGCCGTGGCCAGCATGGGCGCCGGGCACCTTCCCTGCACGGCTGCGCCCGCCCCCACTGTGGTCCGGGTCAGCGTGGCCACCGGTGTGCTGAAAGGGGCCCAGGCTGCCACCGCTGCCTCGTGCCAAACGCGCCAGACCAGCGCCACCAGCAGCGGCAGCACCATGACTATGATGGTTCCCGGAACCTCACTGCTGGGGCCCGGCCTGGCCCTGGAGGTGGGGGGCCACCGGCCCTACGGGCCCGCGACAGGCCTGAGCCAGCTGGTGTCGGTGGGGCACCCGGTCGAGGTCCCTCACATTCCCGCCACCTCCACCCTGGGGGCCGGGGAGCCCGGCGACAGCACTGGGACTGTCACCACCCTGGAGGCTCTGCTGTGCCCCGTGACTCAAGTCTGCTCCAACCCGCCGTGCGAGACCCACGAGACGGGCACCACCAACACTGCCACTACCTCGAATGCAGGCGGCGCCCAGCGGGTCTGCTCCAACCCACCGTGCGAGACCCACGAGACGGGCACCACCCACACGCCCACCACGGCCACCTCCAGTGGGAACGCCGGCCAGCCCGAGGGCGGTCAGCAGCCTGCCGCCAGCCGCCCCTGCGAGACGCACCAGACCACTTCCACTGGCACCACCATGTCGGTCAGTGTGGGGGCCCTGCTCCCCGACGCCGGCCCCTCTCACAGGACCCTGGACCCGGGCGCCGAGGTGGTGGCCTCTGCCGCCATGACCCCCACGGTGGGTGCGGCACTGCTGGCCCCCTTCCCCACGCAGCGGGTCTGTTCCAACCCGCCGTGCGAGACCCACGAGACGGGCACCACGCACACGGCCACCACTGTCACCTCCAACATGAGCTCCAGCCAAGGTGAGGGAGCACCCAGCCGGCCTCGGGGCTCCGCGGGCAGTGCTCGCACCCTTCACCCCACTCTCTGCCTGCCCTCACAGATCCGCCCCCGACCGCCAGCGATCAGGGAGAGGCGGAGAGCACCCAGAGTGACATGGCGAACGTCACCAGTTCCAGTGTCATTACCACCACTGTGTCCTCCGCGCTGACAAGGGCTGTGACCACTGTGACCCAGTCCACGCCCGTCCCGGGCCCCTCGGTGCCGGTAAGAGCCCTGGTGGGGGTGGGGTGGGGGTGGGGGTTCCCGCCAGGCTGCCTGGCCAACCTGGCGCCGCTGGTGCAGTTCCAGAGCCGGCCACCAGGTGACAGCCTTGCACCGGGCCTGGGCGCTCCCGCCTCTGGGAGGCCCCCGCCGCGAGCAGCCCTGGGGGTTTGTTTCCGTAGGGTGTCGCCAGGCCAGCCCCTCTGCAGTAGCACCGAGAGCGACGCGGCAGGGTGGGGCAGCACTCCGCCTCCCCATCCCAGGGGCTTGGCCAGGCCTGCAGGGAAAGCGGACAGCTCCCTGCTCCTGGCCTTCCTCCCCTTGCCTCTGACGGGGGCTTTTCTCCCTTTCTAGAAGATCTCATCCGTGACCGAGACTGTCCCAGGGGCTCTGGCCCCCGAAGTCCCCATCCCGGCCACGATAACAGTGACCATAGCCAACACCGAAACTTCTGACATGCCCTTCTCTGCTGTTGACATCCTGCAGCCCCCAGAGGAGCTCCAGGCCTCCCCCGGGCCGCGCCAGCAGCTGCCACCGCGGCAACTCCTGCAGTCCGCCTCCACGCCCCTGATGGGGGAGTCCACCGAGGTCCTGTCCGCCTCCCAGCCCCCCGAGCTCCAGGGTGCCGTGGACCTCAGCAGCACAGGGGACCCGCCTTCAGGCCAGGAGCCAGCCAGCTCGGCCGTGGTGGCCACTGTGGTGGTCCAGCCCCCTGCCCCCACCCAGTCCGAAGTGGAGCAGTTGGCACTGCCCCAGGAGCTGATGGCCGAGGCCCAGGCGGGCACCACCACCCTCATGGTCACGGGGCTCACCCCTGAGGAGCTGGCGGTGACAGCGGCTGCCGAAGCTGCCGCGCAGGCCGCCGCCACCGAGGAGGCCCAGGCGCTGGCCATCCAGGCCGTGCTCCAGGCGGCGCAGCAGGCTGTCATGGGTAGGTGCCGCGCGTGGGGGCGGGGCGGGTGCGGGGGGGGGCAGCCCTTCTGAGGAGTCTCCCCTCCCCCATGGAGCAGGCACCGGGGAGCCCATGGACACGTCGGACGCGGCGGCCGCCGTGACCCAGGCAGAGCTGGGGCACCTAGCCGGCGAGGGCCAGGAGGGCCAGGCCACCACCATCCCCATCGTGCTCACGCAGCAGGAGCTGGCCGCCTTGGTGCAGCAGCAGCAGCTGCAGGAGGCGCAGGCGCAGCACCACCTCCCCACGGAGGCCCTGGCCCCGGCCGACAGCCTCAACGACCCCACCATCGAGAGCAATTGCCTCAACGAGCTGGCTGGGGCAGTGCCCAGCACCGTGGCCCTGCTCCCGCCCACGGCCACTGAGAGTAAGCCCGCCCCCGCCCCAGGGGCCCGCCGGCCTGCATTGTCCGCGCTGCCCATTGACGCTGCTTTCTCCCCAGGCCTGGCCCCGTCCAACACGTTTGTGGCCCCCCAGCCGGTCGTGGTGGCCAGCCCTGCCAAGCTGCAGGCCGCGGCGACCCTGACGGAAGTGGCCAACGGCATCGAGTCCTTGGGTGTGGTGAGTCCCCGGGCGGGCGGGGCGTGGGGCCGCTGCTGCCTCGCGGGCTGGCGCGCTCAGGGTCTCCTCGTCTCCTGTCTCCCAGAAGCAGGACCTGCCGCCGCCGCCCAAAGCCCCAGTGAAGAAGGAGAACCAGTGGTTTGACGTGGGGGTCATCAAGGGCACCAACGTCATGGTGACGCACTACTTCCTGCCCCCCGATGATGCAGCTCCCTGTGATGTGGGTGTCTTTGGAAGCTTGGGCCGCGGGGGCCGGGCCTCGGGGGTCCCCCCAGCAGCACAGTCAAGTCCCTGTCCTCTCTCCCTCAGGATGACTCCGGGACAGTCCCAGACTACACCCAGCTGAAGAAGCAGGAACTACAGCCTGGCACGGCCTACAAGTTCCGGGTGGCGGGGATCAACGCCTGTGGCCGGGGGCCCTTCAGCGAGATCTCCGCCTTCAAGACATGTCTGCCCGGCTTCCCGGGGGCCCCGTGTGCCATAAAAATCAGCAAAGTGAGTGGCGCTCAAGGTCGCGTGGGCAGGGCTTGACTGTTGCCTGGAGGGCGGTGCCAGGACTGGGCTCGGGTCTCCCTCCCCTCGGCATCCCCTTCCTCCCTGTTGCTGCCAGCTCCCAGGGCTCTTGGGTGTTGGGCCATTGCTTGATCTCCTTACTACACCGGGTCGCCTTCCAGATGTGTACACGTGAGACCGCCTCGTCAGGAAACAGATGGGCGGGGGCGGGGGGGCAGGACTGGCAGATGTGCGCGATCGCATTGGGAGTCGGGCCCCAGGCAGCCGGGCCTGACTCTCCCTCTGCCCCGGGTTTCCAGAGCCCAGATGGCGCGCACCTCACCTGGGAGCCGCCGTCGGTGACGTCCGGCAAGATCATCGAGTACTCGGTGTACCTGGCCATCCAGAGCTCACAGGCCAGCGGGGAGTCCAAGAGCTCCACCCCGGCGCAGCTGGCCTTCATGCGGGTGTACTGCGGGCCCAGCCCCTCCTGCCTCGTGCAGTCCTCCAGCCTGTCCAACGCGCACATCGACTACACCACCAAGCCCGCCATCATTTTCCGCATCGCCGCCCGCAACGAGAAGGGCTACGGCCCTGCCACCCAAGTCAGGTGGCTGCAAGGTAGGTCGTGCCCGCGGCGCAGAGGCGGGCTCGCGGGGTCGGGCCTGCCTCTGCTCTCACACCGCCCCCTGTCCCGCAGAAACCAACAAGGACAGCTCTGGCACCAAGCCGGCCAGCAAGCGGCCCATGGCCTCACCCGAAATGTGAGCACGTGCCTTGGGCACCGGGGCGTGGGGGGCAGGGGCAGCGGGCGTGGACCGTCCCCGGGTTGCCTCCCTCTGCGAGGGGGGGACTCTCCTGGGGGCCGAGGCGGGCGGGTCGGCGCGGTGGCAGCCATTCGACCTGTCGCCCCCCCACCCCACCCCCAGGAAATCTGCTCCAAAGAAGTCCAAGGCCGACGGGCAGTGAGAGGCCGCGCCGGCACCGCCCCTCCTCCAGCCCCCTCTGCTTCAGGACACCCCCGTCTGTGCCGAGTCGCTGGCCGCCACCCCTCGCCCTTCGCGCTGTTTGAGACGCCTGTACAGAAGCACAGTTTCCGGGGCCGCGCTGCCCGAGGAGCCCCGCCAGGCACACCTGGTGCTCTCGGCGGGCAGGACGAAGGGGGCCGAGGCACAGCGGAAGGAACACGAGCCTTCGGGGATCGGCAGCCAGGACTGGCCGGCGGGGGCGGGGCGGGGCACGGGAGCCAAGGCCGAGTGCCCCCAGTTTTCCCCCTCCTCCGCGCGGAGAGGCTTGACGGCCCCCTCCCCCGTGCAGGGCGTCCCGTTCCTCTTGTACTTCGTTCCCGTGGCATCCGCAGCTTACCCGACCCCAGCTCTGCCCACGCTCCCACGGCCGCTCCCCCGTTTTCTTAGAGGCCTTCGTATTCCCAGCCCTCCCCCAGTCCGTAAGAAGCAAGCAAGCGCCTGGAGCCGCCCCCGGGCTCCCCAAGCAGTGCTCCGTGGCGCCCCACCCCCACGAGCCTGGCTGCGGCCCCGGGGTGGGGCCAGGAGCGCGGCCCAGCTGCTGCAGTCGATGGAGATTTTCCGTTGGAATTGATGGAGCTCACATTTTTATTGTCATTTTAGCCTTAGTGTGTGGGGTTTTGTCCCTTTTCTGTTGTTAGCCGTGTACAGGATGTGTAGCTTCTTTTTCTTTTGGCTTTTTTTTTCCTTTATGCCCTTGGCTAAGCCTTGGCAGGGATCTTTCTAGAGTTGGACTAGCTGGGGGCAGCCGGGCCAAGCAGGGGGTGGGGGACGAGCCTCAGGCCTCCTCCCGGGGAAGGGTGGGAGGCCCAGCCGGGTGAGCCCACCCGTGGCGGCCTGCCGGCGCCAGGAGGAGCAGCACGAGCGGGCGCGGGCCGGGGGAGAGGGCCGGCCGCCAGGTCGGGGCTGGCACGGTCGTGCCAGGCCAGCCTTGGGACTTGGGGCATCATTTGGACTGGCCGGTGAGGCTTTGTTGCGCTGCGCCCACACTTGAGGCGCTCGAAGGATCTAGAAGGAGCACCCCCCATCTCTTCCCGGAGACTGTCGTGGTCGGGGGGCTCCCTGACTGCGGCCTCTGGCCCCTGGTTGGTTGTATTATATTTCACCGTGGAACCGTCGCGTTTAGTCACCTTGGAGCCCAGTCGCCTGGTCCCCTTGTCTCCCTGTCCCTTCTGCCCGGCACCCCTGGATCTCTGTTTCTGAGAACAGTACCCCCTCATCTATTGTAGAGTACTTCCGTGACTCAATATTACCATAGTGCGATGTCGTTTTGTGCTATTTTGAACAATAAAAGACTTTTTTTGAAATAAACCTCTGCTGTCTTCACTGACCAGGGCTCCTGGTGGGGTCCGCTTCCCCTCACCACCCTGCGTGGGTCGGGCCCTTTCCACAGAGGACGAGCTTGGGTTTGGGGCCTCCAAGGGCGTCTGCCAATAGGATGTCCGTGCCCACTAGCAGCGCCAGGGAGCCTGCTGGGGTTGGGCTTCAGCACCCCGCCACTTCCACGGCAGGTTGTGCGGGACAGCAGGCCAGCTGGGGTGGACGGAGGGACCCAGGGGAGGCCATTTTCCACGCCCGAGGCTCGTCCTTGAGGTGGGCCCCGGCCGTTAAGCTGCCCATGTCAACCCGGCTCCCAAGCCCAGAGCCCCGCTGAATCTAAGGCCACCCAGGAACCCTCCTGCTGCCCGGGGAGTGTCCCCGCCCCCCGTTCCCCAACTGATGCAGGGGGAATTTGCAGCCTGCAGCCAAGCTGGAACGGGTGTTTCTGGCAAGACCCCAGCTACCGCGTGGAGAGGGGCCTTCCTGAACCCCCAAATCCAAGCATGCTGGGGGTCCAGGGCGCTGAGGCACCCTGTCCCCTTGGACCACGTCCTCCGTGGCAGTCCACCACTGGCCGGGGGCATCGGGGACAGTTCAGCCTCCCGGGAGCACCCCCTCGCTGCTAATCAGACATGGGGCGCTGGAGACCCTGGGGGTGCCTATGGTGGACGGGCTCCGTGCCCTTGATGGGCCCATGGCGTCATTGCCTGGCCCTGGCCCTGGCCCCAGGGGATCACTCCCCCAGAAGACCCTGGCAGCCCACCTGAATTCTGCATCTGGCGCATCCCAAGGCCACGTGGGGGCCGGCCTACTAGTGCTAGGGGGTTGCCGCGCTGCCAGGCTTGCAGGGCCAGGCCATACCGCAAGCCCCGCCCTCTCGGGGCCGCCCCCCTGGGCCCGCCCCCAGGGCCCTGAAGAAGCCCCGGAGGGGGTGGGTGGGGCACTGCTAGATCAGCTGAGCGCCGGTCCCGGTCGGTCACAGGACTGCGAGCAGGCTCCGTCTGGTTTCCTGAAGGCAGCAGCATGAGCGGCGGATTCGGCTCCTGGCAGGCCGGTGGAGGGCCCAGCGGGCAGCGGGTGGAGGAGGGCGCCCTGAGAGCAGGGGCCCAGGGCCTGGGGAACGTGGAGGGGCCCCGGGTGGCGCCCGTGAGTCCCGTGTTCAGCTGGAGCTTGGAGCAGGAGCGGGAGACCCTCATGGCCTGGAAGGAGTGCATGGGGCGCGAGCTGGACCGCGTGATGGCCTTCTGGACCCAGTTCTCGCACGACAAGGAGCACGGGTAGGAGCCCGCGATGCCCTGGTGGGGAGGCGGCCGCGCCCCCCCGGCTGACGCTGTCTCCCACAGGGGCTTCTTCTCGTGCCTCGGCCGCACCGGGCAAGTGTACGACGACATCAAGTACGTGTGGATGCAGGGCCGCCAGGTAAGAGCCGGGAGGGTGCAGGCCCGGGTGGCCGCCGGGGCCCCGAACCGGCTCGGACCTCAGCCCCTCCGTGCCCAGGTGTGGACCTACTGTCGCCTGTACCGCACACTCGAGCGCTTCCGCCACCCCGAGCTCCTGGAGGTGGCGAGAGCAGGTGAGGTCGCGGAGGGCCGCGGCGGGGGTCGGGTGGGCGTGCGCGGCGCCCAGCACGGCCTCTGCCCACCTCCAGGAGGCGAGTTCCTGCTGCGCTGCGCGCGGGTGGCGTTCCCTGGGAGGAAGTGCGCCTTCACGCTCACCCGCACCGGCGAGCCCATCAAGGTCCAGCGGACCATCTTCAGCGAGTGTTTCTACGCGGCGGCCATGAACGAGCTGTGGCGGGCCACCGGGGAGACGCGCTACCAGGTGTGACCCCGCTGGGCTGCTGGGGGCCGCCCTTCCCGGGAGCCTTATCTCCGAACCGCCCTGGGATGGAGTGAGCGGGTGTGGGAGGCTTCTCCGGCCTCCAGGGCCTCTTTGTTCCTCTGGGACCCACCCCCTACCTAGCCGGGGGCCCGGGGGCAGAGTGCGGAGCCAGCCCTTTCCATGCAGCCTGAGGGGCCCCAACTGGCCCCGGCAGGTGGCGGCGGGACAGGCCCTCAGCCAGGGCTGCCCCCGGCCCGCTCCCCGCCCTTTACAGAGCGAGGCGACGTCGATGATGGAGCAGATCGTGCACTGGGTGCGGGAGGACCCGACGGACCTGGGCCGGCCCCAGCTTACGGGCACCCCGGCCGCAGAGTCCATGGCCGTGCCCATGATGGTGCTCTGGCTGGTGCTGCAGCTCGGGGAGGCCGATGAGGAGCTGGCGGACCAGTTTGTGGAGCTGGGGGACTGGTGTGCTGCCAGGCTCCTTCAGCACGTCCAGGTGGGCACGCGAGGTGGACCCTGCAGGGCCAGCCCCCGCCCCTCCCCCGCCCACCGCTGCCCCCAGCCCGTCCCCAAGCTGGGACCTGCGGCCTCTGCTACCATGCAGACAGAGAACAGGTGGATGGGGGTGAGGGGGCGGCCACGGACTAGAAAGTGGGCAGGGCAGGGAGCCTGGCCGCTGGGCTTCCGCAATGTCAGTTCCCCTCTGGGGCCTTGGGAGCGGGTGTCCCGCTGAAGCCTGGGGCTGCGGCGGCAGGGGGAGGGGCCCGTCACCCGCAGCTGACCGCAGCCCCCTGCTCTCGCGCAGAGGGACGGCCATGCCGTGCTGGAGACCATATCGGAGGATGGGCAGGAGCTCCCGGGCTGCCTGGGGCGGCAGCAGAACCCAGGTGAGGGCAAGTCGTGCCGGGCGGGCTGCCCCCCCCCCCCGCAGCCGCCTGCTCCGGCCACAGGGGCGTCGGCGGGAGCCGCTTAACCTCCCGGCCACCCCCCACCCCGCAGGCCACGCACTGGAGGCCGGCTGGTTCCTGCTGGAGTACGCCCGGCGGAAAGGCGATGCGGCACTGCGAGTCCGCGTCATCGAGAAGTTCCTGTGGCTGCCCTTCTGCTCCGGCTGGGACGCCGAGCACGGGGGCCTCTTCTACTTCCAGGATGCCGATGGCCTCTGCCCCACTCAGGTGGGTGGCACGAGCCTGCAGGAGGGCGGCTGGCCGCGAGAGGGCGCGCGTGGCCGAGCGGGCTGGGAGACCTGCTGACCGGCCACCTGTGCCCGCAGCTCGAGTGGGCCATGAAGCTGTGGTGGCCGCACTGCGAGGCCATGGTGGCCTTCCTCATGGGCTACACTGACAGCGGGGAGCCTGCCTTGCTGCACTGCTTCTACCAGGTGGCTGAGTACACATTCCGACGGGTGAGTGTGGACCCAGAGGCGGAGCATACACCCCACACTGGCTGGGGGATGAGGGGCCTGGGCGGGGGCGTGTCCGGAGCCCTGAGGCAGCCCCGCTGGGGGGGCACAAGGGAGCGGCCCCGTTCTGCTGCCTGCAGGATGTCACTGCTAGACATCCCAGCTGCTACCATCGAAGAGGCACCGTAAGCTTTCCAAATTGCTCCCCGCTTTCCAAACACAGGACGCATGAGACTGCAGAGGACGAGCCTGCAGGTTCATGGCCTGATGCCAAGTTTCAGGAGCACGTTCTTCGTTGTTTAGGGCAGGGGATACACCTGGCATTGCTAGAGTCCCCAGGGCACCAGGACCTCCTGCGCTCTTTACCCACTTCTGACTCTCAAGAATTCCCAAAGGGGGCTGGAGTGACAGTACAGGGGGTCGGGCATTTGCCTTGCATGCAGCCAACAAGGGTTCGATCCCCGGGATCCCAGGAATAATCCCAGAGTGTAGAGCTGGGAGTAGCCCCTGAGCATCGCCAGGTGTGACCCAAAAGAGCCCCCTTCCGAAAAAGAAAAAGAACTCTCAAAGTTATCACCAACAGGTGACGTGTATGCACTAACCCATCAATCACACCAGCACAAAAAGCAAAGATTCAAGCATCCGAGAAAAAGCTGCAGGAAAACCGTTAAAGTTTTTATCTTGCTGTGTAAGATCAAGGTGGGAAAACCAAGGGGAGACCTAAACAAAGCCACTAGAAAGAGAATAAACAGTAAACAGGAATGCTCTGCCTCCCGGGCAGAAGAAAGGAGACACCCACTCAGGAGTTAGGTGTCTGGTTCTGGCGCTGCTCCTGGTGGTGCCGGGAATGAGCCCGGGGCTCTTGCACACAGGAGCAGCTCAATCTCCCGCACCCCCAGATCTCAGGAGGGACCCTGAGCACTGCCAGGAGTGCCCCCAATCCAAACATTAAAAACAAATGACGTGCTCCAACCAGGTGGAGAGCTGGAGACGGGAGGAGGGAATCCATGTCTTCTAGGACAGGTTGGGCCTGGGAAGGCTGGAAGGGCCCCCCCCAAGGGACAAACTTGTGAGGCGGGGCGGGCTCCCCACGGCCAGGAGTAACCTCTGAGCATTGCCCGGCTGTGACCCAAAAAGTCCGAACAAAAGACAAAGCAATCACAGTTGATGGGGGCAGTGCCCCTCGCTCTTGGTTTCTTTCACTGAGATACATTTAGTCACTGAGATACATCCACTGAGATACATCGGGTGCAACTTGTAACACTTGGAGCCCGGTGAAATCTCACTCTCAACAAACTTGCCATTTACCCCGAAGATCAGAGCAGCCTCCCGTGCCTGGCTCTCAGCGTTGCAGGGCCCTTCCCCCAGCGGGCCAGGCAGTAGCCACCGCGAGGGGGGCAAGGGGAAGCCGTCGCCCGCCAGGGCCCCCCCACCCCGGTCTTGGGGCTGCCACGGTGCCCTTCTCCTTCCAGTTCCGCGATCCCGAGTTCGGGGAGTGGTTTGGCTACTTGACCCAGGAGGGGAAGGTCGCCCTCACCATCAAGGGGGGGCCCCTATAAAGGTGAGTGGGGGACGGCACGCCGCCGCCTGGACTCGCGGCCTCGGAGCGGCCCCGCCACTGTGTGCGTGTCCGCAGGCTGCTTCCACATCCCGCGGAGCCTGGCGATGTGCGAGGAGATGCTGGACGCCCTGCTGAAGCGCCTGGGCCCGGCCCCGGCCCGCAGCGCCGTGGTGGCGCCCTACCCCGGCCCCTCCCGCCCCGTCGCGGAATAAAGCTGAGCCTGTTCACTGTGTGTGCGCGAGTCTGTGGGGTGCGGGGACTCGGGGCGCGCGCGCGCCCATTGGCCGCCGTGGCGGGGAGGCGGGTGCAGCGGGCGCGCGCTTCCGGCGCCCGCCGCCTCTTCCGCCGTTCCCCCGCCGGCGAGCCCGGACCCGCTCCCGGTGCAGCCCCAGCGCCTGGCGTCGCGGCGCTCGCCGGTGGCCGGGAGCCGCCCGCACCCCGCCGCCATGAACATCCGCAACGCGAGGGTGAGAGGCGGGCGCGGGCCGGGCACGCGTGGGTGCGGGCCGGGGCCGCGTGCGCATGCTCTGCTCCGGGGCGGCCGCCGGCCCGCGTGGAGACGGGCTGCCGGGGGCGGGATGGCGGGGCGCAGCCGCTGCCGGCGGCGATCCCGCATCCGGGCCGCGATCCCCCGCGCGCGCGCGCGTCCGGCCCCGGGTGCGAGTGCCGGGTGGGCGCGGGGCCGCCGCGCGCGCCGGGACTCAGCGCCCCGCACTGCCGGCCACAGCCCGAGGACCTGATGAACATGCAGCACTGTAACCTGCTGTGCCTGCCCGAGAACTACCAGATGAAGTACTACTTCTACCACGGCCTCTCCTGGCCCCAGGTGGGGCCCCTCACGCACGGGGCGCGGGGTGGGGGGCGCGGGGCCCGGCCGGTCCCCTCTGACGCCTTCTGCCCCCTCAGCTCTCCTACATCGCGGAGGACGAGAACGGCAAGATCGTGGGCTACGTGCTGGCCAAAATGTGAGTCACGGAGCCTCTGGGTGTTCCGGGAGCCACACCTGGCGCTGCCTGCGCAGCTCAAGGCCGGGGATCCGGCCGGGCCCCCAGCGAGCAGGGCATGTGCTCCGGCCCCGGTGCTGGTGGCCGAGCGTGCCGACCTGTCCCTCTTGAGTTTCTTCCGTGGCGGGACCCCAGGCGCCCCTGGCCCAGGTCAGTTAGAGGCTGACAGAAGGGCAGGGTCTGAAAGTGGAGTGTTCCGCTCCTGATGCTCCTGACGCCTGGCCGGGCCCCCAGCGAGCAGGGCATGCGCTCTGGGCCCTGGTGCTGGTGGCCAAGCATACCGACCTGTCCCCCTTGAGTTTCTTCTTCCTGCGTCCCTGGCCCAGGTCAGTTAGAGGCTGACAGTAGGACAGGGTCTCAAGCAGAGCGGGACCCTCCCCAGTCCTAAGGTGGGCCAGGACAGGACCGACTCAGGTGGCTCTGAGGGAGGGGGCGCACATTTGGGACAGCAGCCAGCAGCGGACTGCAAAGGGGACCCCAAGGAGCCAGGGGCCAGCTTGTTCTTCCTGGCTGATAGGGTGGCACATTCACAAACTGGCCCAGAAGCCCCAGTGTCCCCACTGTCCCCGCCTCCCCTGGTGTTCCAGCAGGGTGCGCTCAACCCCACCCCAGCCCTCGCGTGGCACACGCGGCCTCTGTGGCACTGCCCTCAGGGCTGTGATGTGGAGTACTGAGCCCTCTGCCTGGTCATCCGCACTGCTCACCAAGCAATGCTCCAGTGTGTACTCTGCATATGTTTCTTGGCTTGTGGCTTTTAGTTTCCCTCTGGTTCTCGGGCCATGCCCAGCGGGGCTTAGGGCTTCCTCCTGGCTCTGCTCACTCCGGCAGGCTCGGGGGTGCTGGGGCAAGCACCTTACCCACTGTGCTATTGCTCCAGCCCCCTTGGGGGGCTTTTGAGGGTCACGTGTCACCAGGTCTTGCAGTCGCGCCTTTCTTCTGACTCTAGGGAAGAGGACCCGGATGACGTGCCCCACGGACACATCACCTCCCTGGTACGCAGCGCCCAGCCTGGTCAGCAGCGACACTGGGCTGGGAGCGGCCCTTCAAGTCCCTCCTTGCCTGCCCTCTCCCCCCCAGGCCGTGAAGCGTTCCCACCGGCGCCTTGGCCTGGCCCAGAAGCTGATGGACCAGGCCTCGCGGGCCATGATAGAGAACTTCAACGCCAAATATGTGTCTCTGCACGTCAGGAAGAGGTGGAGGCCGGGTCCGAGGGGGGAGCTGCTGCCCCGATGGGGGTCCTGGGGTGTGCCTTGACTTTTGGAGAAGCTCTGGGAAGTGGGCTCAGTGGGGACGCGGGCCTAGGAGGAGGGCGAGACCCGCCCGCATCTGTCGGCTCAGCGCTGCCTTATTCCTCCGCAGCAACCGGGCCGCTCTGCACCTCTATTCCAACACCCTCAACTTTCAGTAAGTAGTTCTAGATCCTTCTCGCCGAGGAGGCGTGGCTCTAGGCCTGGTGCTAGGCTGCAGAGTGCAGGCACAGCCACTGTCCTGGAGGTGCAGTCAGGGGTGGGGCATGCCGAGGGGCTCACAAGAGACAGGGCCCAGACACGAGCAGAAGCTGGGCAGCAGGACTGAGAGTGAAGGGGGACGTTAGGCGCACCTGGTTACTGCTCGCCGGAAGGAGTGGGGAAGGGGTGGGGGGTCGTGCCTGCGCCCGGCAGGGAGCAGAAGCCGAGTCTGCATGTGGGGGCCCCAGCTCCATCTTCCGCCGGGGGTGGCTCTCGAACAGCCCAAAGAAGGACAGAAGCCCGTGTGGATGCAGTTCCTGGGGCCTGCTGAGCGGAGAAGCGGCTCCCGCTTGGCTTTCCGAGAGGTTCTGTGACACCGTGACGCAGCCGCCCTGAGCCTCGGCTGGCACCGAGTCCAATGCCCCTTCTGGTGGCAAGGCTGGCTGTGTGCTCGGGACCAGAAGCAGGACAGGGAGGGAAGGGGCATTCGGCTGCACTCGGGGAAGGCCACTTAGGGACCGGCATGGCGCTGGGCACTGCTGGTTGCTGGGGAGCAGGGGACACGTGGGATCTCTCCAGGCACCCGTCGGGGGGGCATGCCCCCCCCCCGCCGCATGAGCAGATAGCGCCTGTGTTTGGGCTTCTCCCTTCTCAGCACCCCCTGCCCGCAGGATCAGCGAGGTGGAGCCTAAGTACTACGCCGATGGGGAAGATGCGTACGCCATGAAGCGGGACCTCACTCAGATGGCCGACGAGGTGAGGGGCGGGGGGCTCTCCTGCTCTCTGCTGCACGACTGAGCCTGGGGGAGGGGCTGGGGGTGCCAGAGCTCCGCTAAGACAAAGTGGGATTTCAAAAAAACCAAAGTTTAGGGGCCAAAGCGAGAACTGACAATTTTTATGTCTTTGTTTGTTTTGGAGTCACACCCATCAACGTGCAGGGGTTCCTCGTGGCTGTGCACCGAGGAATCCCTCCTGGCCTGGCGCTGCTCGGGAGGCCATACAGGGGGCCGGGGGTCTCCTCGGTGCACGGTCGTTCTGGCCCTTCCAGTCAAAGCGGGATTCTGCGGGGCCCAGACAGCCGCCCATGGAGGAGGAAATGAGCACCAGGGCCAGGACGCAGCGCTGTCCAGCTGTGGGGCGAAGTGGGTGGGGGCGTGGGCACTTCTTAGCACCCCCTTTCTTCCCGGCAGCTGAGGCGGCACCTGGAGCTGAAGGAGAAGGGCAGGCATGTGATGCTGGGCTCCACTGAGAACAAGGTGGAGGGCAAGGCCATCCTGCTTCCGGGCACTGGAGAGGCCTCTCGGGAGGAAAAGGGCCTGGCTGCAGAGGAGACCGGGGGTGACAGCAAAGACCTCAGCGAGGTCAGCGAGACCACAGAGAGCACGGATGTCAAGGATAGCTCAGAGGCTTCCGACTTGGCCTCCTAGAGCTGCCTCGCCCCGCCCCGTGCCCACCTCACCCCTTGCCGCCCTCGCCCCGCATCCTGGTCCCCTCCTGCCTCGCCCCAGGAGCTTTCACAATAAATGCCATTTAGTGGTGGGAGTTTGTGTCTACTGAGCACTTGGGGGCCTCCCGGCCCTAGAGCAAGGGAAGCCAGGTCGGCTGTGGAGGTGGCTGTCGCTCGCTGGGCTTTGCGCTGACAGACACCCTCTCTGGGTAATGGGCCCAGCCAGCAGGTTGGGCCGATTCTCACCCACCACAGTGTCTGCACCCGGACTTTGACTTTTTCTTTTTGGGCCATATGCGGCAGTGCACAGGACTTACTCGTGGCAGGGTTCAGGGGTCATGGGGGGTATCGAGGATCTGCAGGCTCTGCCTGCTCTGCCGTGTCACCCCTGGGGCAGGTAGGTGCTTCTTAGCATAAGCGTTCATTTGAAAATAACGAGCAGGCTTTTTTGTTGCACAGGTTTGGCTTTCCAGATAGCAGAGCCCAGGGAGTCCTGCAGTTTCCCCTATTAGTAAATAAAGCAGTCCTTTCACAAAATTTAATGTTGTTTTGGTTTTCAGGGTACACTCAGCGGTGCTCAGGCTGCTCCCTGTGGTGTGGGCATCGAACACGGGCGTCCTGCACAAGAAGCCTGGGCCCGGTCAGTGCAGCTCTCTGCCCTGCATTTGTTTCGGTGGAGCCATTCCTGATGATTGTTGTTCACCACAGCCCGGGGTTTGCAGTTTCCCTCTTTGTGCTGACAGATGCAAAGTGACATCGCGGTTTCCTGCACACTGCAGATTCCCAGAAAGTGGCTCCTGTCCCCTTCCTCTGGCTCCCTGCTCCCCGCGCCGCCCGCCTCCCCGGGGAGTGCAGTAGCGCCAGACCGCCGCTGGGGGGGGAGCGCGGCCGGCTGGCAGCGCCTGTCACGTGACCGGCCCGCCGGCGCGGAGGCTGAGAAGCGCGGGCGGGGCCCAGCAGCGGATGAGGGCGCGCCTGCGCAAATCCGCCCGGCGAGCTGGCCCGTGTTTCGATTGGCTCAGGTCGGATCAGGGGTTGGGCCGGGAGCGTGGCCGCGCCCTCCGCCTGTGGCGTCAGCCTCTTCCGGTTCAGAAGTCGCGGCCGGCTTCGTTCCCAGGCTCTGATTGGCCTGACGCGTGTGGGGGGCGGGCGCGCGCGCGCACCTCCTCGGCGGCGCCGGTGGGAAGGAAGCCGCGGCAGGTCCTGCGGTCGCCCGCCGCGGGCCCCAGGGGCGCTGTTGGCGCTCGGGGCCGGGTTTCCTGGGCGGAGGTGCGGCGGCGGCAGGGCGGGGAGCGGGCCCGGCGCCTCCCCGCCTCCGCGCCAGCCGCGCCTTTAAGAGCCGCCGCTGGAAAGCCGGGAGTGGGGGCGTGGGCAGCCTCGCCCTGGAGCCCCCGATCTTAAGCGTCGGGAAGGGGCCTCGCGGCCCCCGACTCGTGGTCCCACCCGTTGCTTTGACACGGACGCTCGTCCCAGGCGCGCCCCGCAGCCGCGGCCCTGCCCGGGCTCGGCGCCGTCTCGCACCCGCGCGCAGCTTGTCCCACTTCCCGCAGGGGCTCTCGGGGCCGGCCACCCGTTAGAGGCCCGCAGCCGCCGGGGGCGGCCTTTCTGGACTCGGGGGACTTTGGGGGGTTGGGTCAGGCCTGGGCCAAAGGGTGGGGGCGAGATGCGTGGGCGCGAGTCCCTGACGTGGGAGCAGGCTGCGGGGCTCCCTCGCCCTTCTGGAGGCTGCGACGTTGTGCCGATCGCCCCGGAGGCCCCCAGACCTTGGGCCCAGGGCCCCTCGTGGCTCTTTACCAAAGGACCTTGGGGTGGGGGCGGGGGCGCAGGGCCCGGAAGCTGGGGGAGCTCGTCTGTTATCTCTGGGCGAGAGAAGTGCTCGGAGTTGAAAGGCAGGAAGTGCGTGCTGAGCCTCCAGAGCTACAGGTTCTGCGGGCCCGACGCTGCCACTCTGCGGGGGGCCCAGCCACACGCCCCCAACACACGCGGGCGCCTACGCCTTGTGCCACCCCGGCCCCGGCCCGCAGGCCCGCCTCTGTAGTGGCAAACCTCGAGTCCCTATCTGATCGCACGGCTTTCCTTCACTACTGAAGGCCCTTGTCACCTGTCACCTGTCTTCCCACTTTCCCGGGAAAAGCCACTGCCCTAACGCTTGGCGTCCGGGAGGAGGCGGCCCAAGGCTGCCCCCCGGCGATCTCGGGTGCACGACGGGGCAGGTGCGGGCTGCAAGAGAAGTGGGGGGCAAGAGTTCCGGCTGCAGGAAGTGGTAAGGGCTTATGGGGAAATGGGGAGATGTGTCCCTGCAGGGCCCCGGCATAAGGGGAACCAGCTGCCCTCCCCGCCCCCAAGGCCTGGTCAAAACATGGGCTGAGGTTCTGGTCTCTGGTGTTAACTGCCCCCTTATCTCCGGGCTTGTCTGGGGAAGTCCAGGCCCAATCTGGAGGGTGCGGACACAGATGTTCCGGCGTCACTGGCCACTCATCTCTGGCGACCGGCCAGGCCTGAAGGGGGCTGCCTGGCATTGAGGGGTCCCAGCCCTTCCCTCCAGGGCAGGGGGTGCCAGCTCGCTGAGCACCGTGGGGCTGCCCCGCCTTGGGCGGAAGAGGCCGCTCAGGTGTGTGCCTCACGCCCAGCGCGAGGGGGCGGTAAGACCCAACACAGGGGACCCCCAACCCCCAAGCTGAGGCCGCCGGGCAGCTCCGCCCCGGCCTGGATCCCGGCTGGGGGCGGGGCGGGGCGGGGCGGGGCCGGGTGCGAGCGGCGGCGCGCGGGGCCTGGGCGTCCGACGGGCTGTGGGCCGCGTGGGAGCAGCGGGGCTCGACGGCACGGCCGTCTGGCCACCATGGCCGCGCACGGGAAGCTGCGTCGGGAGCGGGGGCCGCAGGCTGAGTATGAGACGCAGATCAAAGGTGAGGGGGTGCCGGGAGCGCTCGGAGGCCTGGGGGAAGCCAGACAGGCCCCTCGGCTGCTCCCCAGCCCACCTTCTCGGGTGCCCCTTCCTGCCTCCGATGTCATCGGATGGGGCTGCCGGGAGGCGGGTGGGGTGGGGGAGCCCGAAGCCCTCTGTGCAGGGGCCGGGATGGCAGCCCCGAACCTCCAGCGGATCCAAGCCCTGTCGTTGCGCATCCCCTGGGCTCTCTCTGCACAGCCCCGAGTCCCCTTTGCCACCTTCTCGCCCCACCTCGGGCTTTAGCATCACCGCTCAGAGGGCGCCGACGGGTACCAGCCTCCGGGGGTGGGAACTGGAGAGGCGGTCAAGGGCCACAGGCTTCCCGGGACTTTCAGATCTGGGCCCCTCTGACCAGTGCCGGGACCTTCCACGCCCCCTCCCCACCCCAGATGCAGTCAGTGTCCTCAACTGGCTCAGTTCCCCAGGTCTCGCCTTTGTCACTTGTCACATGAAGCTCGCGACCTCTTTGGCTGCCACTCCAGCCGCTGCTACCAGCCAGTGGGTTCATGGGCATGGAAAGACAGGGTGGGAGCGTCTTTACGGTGATCCTTGCCCACGGGCTGCAGCCACAGGACAGCAGGCTGTGCCTGGGTGTTTGTGTTACCTGTCGCCGGCCCGGTTCTGTCCCGGGCACACCCTTGGGTCCCCCGAGCCTACCAGGAATGATCCCTGAGCACGACCAGCTGTGGCCCCTGAAACCAAACCAAACCAAAGCTGTTCCTCGCCTGCGCTGGCGTTTAGCTTGTATGCTCTGCCCTGCCCCACCCCAGGAAACATCCTACGATGCTAGAAAACAGGACCGTGCCCTTGACATCCCCATTCTGAAAGGTCAGCACGGTGGTGGTTTGGAGGCCATGTTCTCTTCTGCGTGTCAGCAGAAGGCAGCTGCAGCCTTGGACTCTGGCCTCCTCACAGGAAGTGCTGGGGGCTGTGCTAGCTCTGCCTTCAAGGGGCGCCTTGCAGCAGCGCCTTCCGCCCTGCCGTCGGGTCCCGGAGCACCAGAAAGAGTCCCCTGACCCCACACGGCTGCCAGGTCTAGTGGCGCAGACGAAGGAAGCCAGTCATGGCATGACTCCTTCCGGCTGGTAGGGAAGAGGAGAGGAAGAGGGCCACACTGAGTCTGGGGTGAGGTCAGGGAAGAGATTTGAAGAGATGTGGAGTCTGTGTGGTGCCCCCCACCTGGCCCTGTGCGGGCTAAGGAGACTCTTGGCATCGTGGACTCTTGCTCTGTGGCGTCACTGCCAGGAAGACACCCCCCCACTGCCACACACCTCCATTGTGTGGAACTCTAGGCAGTTCCCAAGTGGCAGGCCAAACGTGCAGGACCCTTCCTTGGGGGCACGCTTCACGGCAGCTTTCGTGGGGAGTGGACTTCTTTTGTCTTTTGTTTGGGGTCACACACACAGGTGATGCTCGGGGCTTACTCCTGGCTCTACACTCAGGTCCGGGCGGTGCTCCAGAGCCCATATAGGACGCTGGGGATCCAACCCGGGTCATCCGCATGCAAGACACGTGCATTTGCCTTTGTGCTCCGTCCCCAATGGCATTGACTGTGGTTCACAGCACATTGCCCCAATTTGGATCGGGGACACAGCTTCATGGTGCGTTACTGCCTTGCCTGGCTGTGGCCGTGGGTTAGAGTCCCAGCGCTGCCTGGTCCCCTGAACACTGCCGGGTGTAACCCCCAAACAGCAGTGAACCCCTTCAGTGGACTTGCCCCTCTGGAGTCTGTGTGGTGCCACCCCACCTGGCCTTGTGCCGGCTAAGGAGACTCTTGGCATCGGGGACTCTCGCTCTGTGGCGTCACTGCCAGGAAGACACTCCCCCCTACTGCCACACACACCTCCAGTCCCGTCAGCACAGCCTGAGCTCAGGAACACAGGACTAGCAGCCTGGATTCGAGACATCCAGGGGCTGAGTTAGAGGAGGTTGTTGTCCAAAAGCAGGTGGCACGGGAGGGGTGCCGGGCAGGCAGGCCCCACAGCCCCCAGGAAGATGGCTCCTTGTCGCCCGTCACCCCCCCCCCCCACAGCTCAGTGGGCACAGCGGCTCACTCACCTCCTTTGCCACTGCATCACTGGGTCTGGCACCAAGCAGGCAGCATTGCAAAGAGCAGCATTGCCTGGGCATGGGCAGGGCACAGGAGCCAAGGCAGTGCCTCGTTAGCTGGGACCCACAGCCTGCGAGCACTGGGGGCAGTGGCTGGTTTTCAGCGGGTGATTGGGTTGCTCAAGCGAGCATCCCGGCCCGCGGCTTTGGGGCCATGTGAGGAAAGCAGTGTTGCCCAATCCAACCCGTTTCTGATAAGGTGTCCAAAGCCCGGGTGTGGCTCTCTGCTGGAAGGTGCCAGTGGGGGGGGTGGTGGTGGGAGGGTGCTGGGGAGGCCAGCTCTTGCTGCGGCTCCTGCCAGTGTGGTGCTGCTTGTCCCCAGGGACCAGGCCTTGCTGGTAGCGCAGCTTGGCGGGAGCAGCCAGCGGCCTGGTCCCTGGCAGTGGTACATCTCTGCATGCCCCAGGAACTTGCCCTGCCCAGCCTCCTGATCCAGGAGGCAGAAAGGGGCAGGGGAGGCAAGTTGGGGGCTTTCCAGGCACCAGGGCCCTGTGCCCCCTGTCCCTGGCATCATCCTCTCCCCAGAATGCTCTGCCGTTCCTCTTCCGCCGCTTGGGCCTGACGGGTTCCCTGGAGCTCCAGCCCCGCCGGCCAGCCCTGAGCCCCGTTGGCTTCCTCCCGGGGGTAGCGCTGCGCGCTGCTGTGGCAGCCCTGCCCACCTCTCGCCATGCCCCTGCAGAAATGCGCTCCCAGCTGAGTGAGCAGCTCCGCTGCCTGGAGCTGCAGGGCGAGCTGCGGCGGGAACTGCTGCAGGAGCTGGCCGAGTTCATGCGGCGGCGTGCCGACGTGGAGCTTGAGTACTCGCGGGGCCTGGAGCGCCTGGCTGAGCGCTTCTCCAGCCGCAGTGGCCGCCTGGGCAGCGGCAGCAGGGAGCACCAGAGCTTCCGGTAGGTAGTGGCTGGCAGGGGGCTGGGCCGCGGTGCCACCCGCCTCCCGGTGCTGAGAGCCCCTGTGTCCAGGAAGGAACCGTTGCTCCTGTCGCCCTTGCACTGCTGGGCCGTGTTACTGCAGCAGACGCGAGAGCAGAGCCGTGAGAGTGCGGCCTTGAGCGAGGTGCTGGCCGGGCCCCTGGCCCAGCGCCTGAGTCACATCGCGGAGGACATGGGCCGCATAGTCCGGAAGGTGAGGCCTCAGGACCCAGGGCCCGGGAGTGGCCAAGCGCGGGGGGGAGGGGGGCGGGGGCGGGCTGACGCTCACTCCTCGCTCCACAGAGCAAGGATCTGGAGCAGCAACTACAGGAGGAACTCCTGGAGGTGGTGTCGGAGCTGCAGACGGTGAGAGGGGCGTGTCGAGGGGCATGAGTGATTGGGGAGGGGGGCGCCAGCACCGTCCCCTTGCCTGGCTCTGGGTTCAGTGCTCCTCCTGTGGCTGGGACCTTCAGCACATCACCAGCCTGGGGCCTCCCTGCAGGCCAAGAAGACGTACCATGCGTACCACACTGAGAGCCTGAATGCCGAGGCCAAGCTCCGTGAAGCCGAACGGCAGGAAGAGAAGCGGGCAGGCCGGACCGTGGCCACCGCCGCCACTGAGGCAGGGCCCCTCCGCAAGGGCTCCCTCAAGAAGGGCGGGCGGCTGGTGGAGAAGGTGATACGAACTGTCCGTGTCAGCCTGTCAGTGCCTCCTGTTCTCCTGGGTGTTGCCCCCGACCCCCGCCTCTCAGAACGCAGGGCCCTTTCTGAGGAACCAGATGGGGGCTGTGCTAGGAGAGCTGTGAGGGGGCCTGCAGAGAGAGCGGGAGTGGAAGGCTGGCAGAAATGCCATCTTGGGGTGCCAGTCGCAGCTCCTGGGAGAGTGTGCCCCTATGGGACCGTCAGAAGGCGGGGGAGGGGAGTGCGTTCTGTCGAGGCTGCGCTCGTGACGCTGTGCACTCGTATGGTGGGCGCAGCGTCAGGCCAAGTTCTTGGAACACAAGCTCAAGTGCACGAAGGCGCGGAACGAATACCTGCTGAGCCTGGCCAGCGTCAACGCTGCTGTGAGCAACTACTACCTGTGTGACGCCGCGGACCTCATGGATGTGAGTGCCGGCCGGGAGGGCGGGCGCCAGGCCCGGGGCCTGCCCAAGCCCCGTCTTTGCCTCCTTGCAGTGCTGCGACACGGGCTTCCACTTGGCCCTGGGCCAGGTGCTGCGGAGCTACGTGGCCGCCGAGAGCCGCACGCAGGCCTCCCAGATGGAGGGTCTGGGCAGCTTGGAAGAGGCCGTGGAGGCCCTGGACCCGCCGGGTGACAAGGCCAAGGTGCTGGAGGTGCACGCAGGGGCCTTCTGCCTCCCACCACGCTTTGATTACCACCCCCACGAGGGGGACGAGGTGAGGGTCACTCCCAGCCCCGCATGGCCCAGCCCGTCCGCTCTGCGTGACTGCTTGGCAAATGCAGGCCGGGTTGTCACAGAGGAGGAACAACCACTGGCGACAAGAATCTTCTGCAGCTCTGTCAGTAAACACTCCCCTTGCACAGGCAAATGCAGCCCAAATGGGGCCAGTGTGGAGTGTGGGGAGGGGGCTCTGTGTCTTGGGGAGTATGAAGTGGGGGGCCCCAAGCAGGGAAAGGATCGCCTGGGTCCTCCTCCCGGCCCCTGGGCTAGTCTTCGCTTGGTGTTTGGATTTGAATTTGGAGGCCACGCCCAGCAGGGCTCAGAGGCTCCTCCACAGTAATTCTTAGTAGAATACTTCATCCTCACTTCCGGTGGCACTCAGGTGACCATGTGGTGCTAGGGCTGGACCTTGGGGTCCCACACGCAGAGCCTGCACCCTGCCCCTGCGCCGTCTTTCCCTGGCGTATAGTGCAGAGACGGGCGGCACAGACTCGCGGCTACTGAGTAACTGCAACCCCCAGGATTCTCTCCCCACTCCCAGTCTCCTGCTTGCTCCTTCTGGTGCTTTCCAGCCCACAGCGAGCAGCCTGCTGTAGAATGTTGGAGCGCACTGGGGCCCAGCCCTGTTGCCATCTCTGGTGCCACCCCTCACGCCCAGCCCAGTCTGAAGTGCCAGCAGACTTCCCCCGTCTCCCAGGAGCCCTGGTTCTCGGCTCTCGGTGTGCTGTCCTCATTTAGGCCAAGTCTCCCCTGAGATCTTTGTGTCTCCATGTGCCTGAAAATGTGCATTCCAGCTTTGCAACCAGTCGGCACTTACGCTAAGAATCACGTTGTCCCTTGAGTTGCTCTGGCCCTTTTGAATATCTGAGGCGCCACTGCAGGCTTGCCAGCCCTGGGTGTCACAGGCGACAAGTCCATTGTGAACTGGACATTTTCTCCCTGAAGCTATTAAGTTTCGCCCCTCCCCCTTGTTATAAGTGTTTATAGTGACATGCCTGCCTTGGGAATCCTTTTCTTTCACAGTGCAGGGCAGCCAGGGGACCCTGTCAGTCTGCAGAGTTGTATGGAGTGAGGCTTGTAGGATTCTGGTTTGTGTGTGTGTGTGTGTTTGTTTGGGGGCCACACCCTACAGTGCTCAGGGGTTACTCCTGGCTTTGCACTCAGGAATTACTATTGGCAGTGCTCAGGGGACCATAAGCGATACTGGGGATTGAACCAGGTTGGCTGCATGCAAGGCAGGTGCTTTACTTGCTGTGCTATCCCTCCAACCGTCCGTGCTACCTGCCTTTTTAGTGAAGCACAGTATTTTTTATTGAACAAAATATATTTAGAAAGACGTGATGGGGGAGAAAGAGAGTAAGTGCGTGTTCAAGAGAGAACACAGGTTTTTCCAGGGTGAAGCAAGCAAGCTGGCAAGATCCGTACACGTTCAGGGGAAAACACGGGCTTGGAGAGCGAACTAAGGGTTGTCTGAGTCTTTGGATGAGTTTCTCCCCTTTCTTTTCTTTTTCTCACTTTCAAGAATTCGTGGGCGGAGAGATAGCTCTGAGGGCTGAAGGACGTACAGGCGGCCTAGGTTGGGTCCTCAGCACTGCCAGGTGTAAGCCCTGAGCACGGCGCCAGGCATAGCCTCTGAGCACTGCTGGGTCTGACTTCAAAAGACAATACTTCAAGTGCATGTTGTCCCTCAGAGGTTCTTCTCAGAGTTTCACAGCTTCTCTCTTTCCTGTTTCCCATCTCTGCACCTCTTCTTGTTGTTGGTTGTGGGGGCCACCGTCAGTACTCAGGAAACCCTGTGGTGCTGGGGACTGAGCCCCAGACCCCATATGTGCCAGACGCATGCCCCAGAGTTGGAGCTATCTCCCTGCCTTGCCTGCTAGCTCTGGACCTCAACACTCTCTCTCTCTCTCTCTCTCTCTCTCTCTCTCTTTCTCTCTCTCTCTGTGTCTCTGGAGAATTCACATTCCGTCAACCATTTCTTCCAACCCTAGTTGAATTTTACAGACCTTTCATATTTTCTGCTTCTTGGAGTTCTGTTTATTCATCAAACTCTTGTTTAAAATAACCCTTGCGGGGGCCTGGAAAGATAGTACAGCAGGTAAGGCTTTTGCCCTGCACACAGATGACCTGAGTTTGATCCCCTGTACCCCATTTAGTCCCTCATAAAATAGCCCTTTGGGGGTCAGATAAATGGCTGCATTCTTCGTATACAGATTGCCAGCATGGCCCCCTGAACACTGTCAGTAGTGACCGAGCGTAAGACTGGAATCAGTAGCCCTGCCATTGAGCCCGCAAATCAGTCAATTCTCTCAACCCCAACCCAAGGGGCTGGATTCATAGGACAGTGGGTAGGGCACTTGCCTTGCATGCTCTTGACTCCGGTTTGATCCCCGGCCTCTCAGAGCCTGAGCCTGCTGCGAGTGATCCCTGAGTGCAGGGCCAGGAGTGAGCCCTGAGCATCATGGGGTGTGGCCTTCCCCCAAAGAAACCCCAAGCAAACAGCCTCGACCCGAAAGTAAATAGCATGACCCTTTGGGCTGGCCGTATAGTCTGCGTGCAGGAGTTGAGAGTCTGACCCCTGGCACCTAATGCTCCCCTGAGCTCTGCCAGGAGTGATCCCTGAGCACTGTGAGGTGTGGTCCCCAAACAACAACAAAAAGACCATAGCCTTTTGGTGCCATTGGGATGCAGGGCCAGCTGGAATGTCCTTTCTGCTTTCCCGGTGCGGGCCTGGCTCAGTCGCGTTTGAGGTGCTGTTGCTCCTCCCCTGCCCCCCGGTCTTGCACTGCGGGGCTCCCCGAGGGAGTGAAGGGGGCAGCGTCAGTGAGGGGAGGAGGGCCAGCAAGCTCGGATGATGGCTGGGTGGGGGGAGGACCCTCCGGGACGCTGTGGCACTGCTGTGTCCCCGGCCGAGCGGCTGGTGGCGCCTCTGCACCTCAGCAGACGGCGCCGCGTCCCCGCCCTGTCATCCCGCCGCCTGGCTTCCCTGTGCTCTCCGGGCTCCTGGGGTGTGGCTTTGAGGGGGATCTGCCAGCTCAGCCCTCCCTGGGGCTTACTAGCCTTTGTTGTGGCCGAGGCTGTAGACAGCAGATGGGGCGGGCCGTTTCACGCCTTGCCAGCCTTGTTGCCCGTCCTCCTGGCCATCGCTGAGCCCCTCCCTGACCCCGCTCTGTCTTCAGACGGAGCCTCTGATCACCCCGGCAGTGCCAGGGTCTGACTGCACACCCAGGCTGGGTTTCCTCAGCCTCACGCTCTGCCCTGGACCCTCTCAGCCCAGGGCAGCAGAGCTGTGACCTGGGGCCCACACTCAGCTGCGGGTCACTGACCCCCCACAGGTGGCTGAGATCCAGGTGGATGTGGAGCTGCGGGAGGAGATTCTGCCCAGGGCCCAGAATATTCAGAGCCGCCTGGACCGCCAGACCATCGAGACGGAGGAGGTGGGAGGCTGCCTGGGCTGCGGGCAGGGCACCCACAGACCCGAGCTTGCCCCCTGACTGGGTCCCCTCCCTCCCCAGGTGAACAAGACCCTGAAGGCCACCCGGCAGGCCCTGCTGGAGGTGGTGGCCCCAGACGACGGGGACACACTTGATTCCCTCCAGGCCTGTCCCTCCACCGAGTCCCTCAAGCCGACCAGTTCAGAGCCAGGTGCCCGGCAGGCCAGCCGGCGGCGGGGCCAGCAGCAGGACACTGAGACCTTCTACCTGATGGTGGGGGCCCGGGGGTCGCGGGAGGGTGGGCCAGTGGGCCGGTGCAGGGCTGAGTGTCGCTGCTGTGGGCCCTCAGAAGCTGCAGCAGTACCTGAGCGGGAGGAGCGTCCTTGCCAAGCTGCAGGCCAAGCACGAGCAGCTGCAGGCCGCCATTCAGCGAGGTGGGCCTGGCTCCGCCCCGTGCCCCCCGGGTCCCTCTAGGACGGAGCCCCCCCTGAGCGCTCCTGCTCTCTCTCTGCAGGTGACAAGGCGGAGCAGGAGGCGACTTCGTGAGTCCTTGCTAAGACTCGTGCTAGATGGCTCCGAAGGGGCCCAGCTCACCTCTGTGCTGTCTGTCGTGTGGCCTCAGTTTCCCCTGTGCCAGCACTAACTCCTAGCTCTGGGGCTCTCCTAGCAGGGGTGGGTGGGGTAGGGATTTGCTTCATACAGTTCCTGTTCCAGGCTGCACTACACTCAGAAAAGATTCCTGAAGAGCCGCCACCCCCGGCCCAGCTCCCAGTATAACCAGAAACTCTTTGGGGGAGACATGGAGAAGTTTATCCAGGTACTTGCTGCCTCACACTGTCACTGAGTGCAGGCCTGGGCAGCAGGTGCTGGGGACAGAAAGCATGCCATTGTGTCAATGCCGCCACTCGAGTGGACCATTGCAATGGCCCAGTGGCAGCAGGACTCGTTCATGGTCAGTGAGCAGAGCGCAACTGTATTTTCACTGGCCAGCCACGACCAGTTAGCAACTAAGTGCAGCCCCTGATGGCCTGGGTAGGGTGGGCACTGCGGGCCGCCTGGAACAGCCACAGCCAGGATGGGATGCCAGAATGGAGCCCAGTGGGAGAGCATCGGCTTGGGCGGAGAAAAGGGCATCCTTAGCCCCCAGAACCCCAGGCCTGAACCCCAGGCGTCCACGGGGACCAACCGTCCTGTCTGTTTGCAGAGCTCGGGCCAGCCCGTGCCCCTGGTGGTAGAGAGCTGCATCCGCTTCATCAACCTGCATGGTGAGCGGCGCCTCTGCTGGCTGGGTGGCGGGCCGGGTGGGCCGGGTGGGCCGGCCGGACTTGGTCCATCGCTCTCGCTTCTCCCCAGGCCTGCAGCATGAGGGAATCTTCCGGGTATCGGGTGCCCAGCCCCGGGTCTCCGAGCTGCGTGAAGCCTTCGAGAGAGGTGGGTGGTGGGGGAGCGTGTGGCACGGGCGGGGGGTGTTCATGGGCAGCGGGGGTTGGCCTGACCGTCCTGGCCCGGGGGGCACTCAGGGGAGGACCCGCTGGTGGAGGGCCGCACGTGCTACGATCTGGATTCGGTGGCCGGGACGCTGAAGCTCTACTTCCGGAGCCTGGAGACCCCGCTCTTTTCCCCGGAGCTCTTCATGGAGCTGCTGGCTTCTGCAGGTGAGGCTGGGCCTGGGGTGGGGTGGGGTGGGGTGGGGGGCTGTGAGCCCCGTTTCTTAGGCGCTGCTGCTCATGTGCTTCCCCGGGTGGCGCAGAGCTGGAGGCCCCAGCGGAGCGTGTGGAGCGTGTGTCCTGCCTCCTGGGCCGGCTGCCCAGCGCCGTGCTGGTGGTCCTGCGCTATCTCTTCAGCTTCCTTAACCAGTGAGTGCCCCCAGGGGTGGCGGGCGACAGCGGGGTGCTGGGGACACGGGCCAGGGAGATCCTTGAGTGTGACTTCGTGTGTCCCAGCCTGGCCCAGTACAGCGATGAGAACATGATGGACCCCTACAACCTGGCCGTGTGCTTCGGGCCCACGCTGCTGCCCGTGCCGGCAGGCCAGGACCCCGTGGCCTTGCAGGGCCGTGTGAACCAGCTGGTGCAGACCCTCATCCTGCAGCCCGCGCGGGTCTTCCCAGCCCCCACCCTGCTGCCAGGCCCTGTCTACGAGAAGTGCATGGCACCCCCGGCGAGTTGCCTGGGGTAGGTGCTGGGCCACCGCGTGGGATGGGGTGGAATTGGGGCCTGCCGCCGCTCCTCAGCCTGCCGCTGCTCCGCTCCTCAGGGACCCTGTGCTGGAGACCCTGGCGGGGGACAGCGAGCTGGAGCTGGACGCTGGGGCTGCACCCCAGGAGCACGGTGAGTGGGTGGACAGGAACTCCTCCACCTCCAGCCTGTCCCCAGCCTGGGTGCCCATCCTGTCCCTTCTGGGCCCTCCTCTCTTCAGACTTGGAGGGCGTCGTGGAGGCAGTGGCCTGCTTTGCCTACACGGGTCGCACGGCCCAGGAGCTGTCCTTCCAGCGTGGCGATGTCTTGCGGCTATACCAGCGCGCCTCGGATGACTGGTGGCGGGGCGAGCACTTGGGCACTCGGGGCCTCATTCCGCACAAGTACATCACGTTGCCTACGGGGTGCGTGAACCCTCCTCTGCCTCTCACCCCACATGCCCACGGCCAGGTTCTGTGGGTGCGGACACTGCACCTTCACTGAACCTGCCTATCCCCCCGCCCCCAGGGTGGAGAGGCAAGCAGCCGGGCCGCAGGGTACAGGAGAGCTGCTGGCCAGCCCGGAGGGCCCCCTGGCCATGGAGTCTGCCCATCGGTGAGCTCCAAGGCCGCACTGCCTCCCTGCTGGGGGCGGTGGGGAGCGTGGCTGGGGTGGGGGTCCTGCGAGAGAGGGGGCACTGCCTGTTGACCTGGGCTACTGTGTGTGCCGTGCAGGCCAGAGCCGTGCAGCCCGCCGGAAGCCGGAGGCTCTTCTAGGCCCAGGTGGCAGAGTTTGGCGCCCCCCTCTCCTGAACGCTACACCGAGATAGACAAGGTGAGCTGGCAGTGCCACCCTCCTTACCCAAGCTTGGCTCTCGAGTGGCAAGTGGCAGGTGGGGTCCAAGCTGTCGGCGAGGGGCTCGGGGGCTCCGAGGCCGGCATCTTGAGCCAGCCTCACTGGCAGGTGGCAGCTTCGTGGGGGCCGGCGGGCCAGATGGGAGAGAGGCTGGAGGGGAGCAGGGAGGGGACGTGGCCCCAGCAGGGGGTGCCCCCTGGGAGAGCCAGCTCCCTGCTCAGGGACAGCGGGAGCCCGAGGGGAAAGAGCAGTCGAGCACGGTGTCCCCGAGCAAGGCGGGGCCGGGCCTGGGCGGAGCTGGGGGGTTGGGGTGAGCTGGGCGCCAAGGAGTCCTGGGAGGCCAAGGGGCGGCTGTGAGGTCCGGCAGAGAGGTCGAGGAGCCTGGGGGCAGCGAGGAGAGGGAGGTGTTCCGAGGGCTTAGCCAGTGCTGGCGGGAGAGCCTCTCCCCAGAACCCCCTCTCTCTGCTCCCTGCCAGGCCGTGGCCCAGACCATGGGCTCCGTGTTCAAGGAGCTCTTGGGGAAGACCGCCCGCCAGGGTCTGGGGCCCAGCGATGCCCCTGCTGCCGGGCCCCGCAGCCCAAAGCTTCCGGTGTGTAGCCGACAGATGAAGACCACAGGCTTTTCTCGGGGTGTGGAATTGCAACCCCAGGGCCTGGACCCCACAGTCAAGCCACACTGAGGCCCCTTTGTTGCTCTGACACCCTGTCTGCTGTGCGTGGGCAACCCTGCGGAGCCCGCGGGGGTTGGTGGCTGTGGGCTGGGCATTCATAAAGACCCATGATTTGGCCCCACGCTGGCTCTCTGTCTTGGGGGGCCGGGCACTCAGCAGAGATGGGGGCTCGGTGGGCTGGAAGGACCTTCTGCCACGTGTGGGCGTGACTCGGGGCACCCCCACGCACTCTGGCCCTGCTCCAGTAGAGAACCTGACTCACTCGGAATGGTGCTGGGACTTTTATTAGGGAGAGTGAGCGGGGAAGAAAGAGAGGGAGCCTGGCCCACCCCTTTTCCTTACGCCACTTCTCCATACCCCAGACACGGTGCCAGCCTCTGGGCTCTCTCCTGATCAGAGGGAAACATCTTTGGCCAGGAAGGAGCTGGCAGTGGCGCAGGACTCCTCCTGGGGGCCCAGGCTAGGCAGGGCGCGCCTCGAGGCGCAGCACAGCAGGCGCCGGAGCTCGGCCGAGACGCTGCTGCTGAAGAGGGTGTAGATCCAGGGGTTGGTGCAGCTGTTGAGGCTGGCCAGCAGCATGAGCAGCACGAAGGGCGGTCCTGTGGGGCCAAGGAGTGTGCGCTGGGGCGTTTGCGGCGCCCAGATGTCTGTGGCCGAGCCCCGGTCTGACTGCGCCCAGCCCAGCACTAGCGCAGCGGCACTCACCTTCCAGGGGGGCGTCGGGGTCCCAGGCCGCCCACAGCTGCACCAGGAAGAAGGGCGCCCAGCACAGGACATAGACGATGACGATCACCAGCGTCATCCTCACGGTCTTGGCCACGGCCGCCGACACCCGCGTCCCCTCGCGGCCAGTGGCCTGCCCGCCCCCTCGGCAGTGCGCCCCCGCCCCTTGGGCTGGCCCCGGCAGCAGGCTGGCATGGATCTCCCGGAAGATGAGCACCTGGCAGATGGCAATTCCCAGCGCAGGGGCCAGGAACACCATCAGGGCGATCCAGGTGACGTAGGCACGCAGCCCCCAGGGCTCGACAAAGCGGGCCCAGCAGTCAAAGACGCCGCTGCCGTCGCCCACGTCCCGCTGTGCGAAGATGAAGAGCTGTGGGATGCTGAGCAGCAGCGAGAAGGCCCAGGCCAGCAGCACTGGCCGGTTCCAGTGGGCGCCACCGCCCTGGCGGTAGGCCAGCATGGGCTGGCAGATGGCGCGGTGGCGGTCCACGGTCATGGCCAGGATCATGTAGGACGAGGCGTACATGCCCACCATCTGCAGGTACTTGATGGCCCTGCACAGGGCGTCAGGCCCCAGAAAGCGGTCGGTGGCGTCCCAGGCGAGCTGAGGCAGCACTTGGAACAGGGCCACCACCAGGTCAGCCAGGCACAGGTGGCAGATGAAGACGTGCATGGGTGCCCAGCGGCCCCGCCGGCCCCGCCGCACCAGGGCCCCCAGCACCAGGCCGTTGCTCAGAGTCACCACCACAAAAACCGTGGCAAGCAGGGCCACCTCCACCCGGGCGAGCAGCGGGTCCCTCTCATCCAGCAGCTCCTCACTGCGGTTGCCGGGCACGCTCGGAGAGAGGGGTCCTGGCACAGCTGGGCGGGGGTGGGGAGAGGCCCCAGTTAGACTGCACGCTCTCCCTTCCCGGCGCCCCCAGCCCGCTGTCTCTCAGCCCCGCGCGGGAGCCGTTGCGTGGGAACCGTGGGGCAGCCCTTACCGGAGGTGGTGGACGCCATGGGCACAGAGCGGCAGGGCCAGTGTCCCGAGCGAGTGGCTGCGGGAGACAGGGGGAGCTCAGTCTGCAGCCCGAGGTGCGCGCGTGCGCGGGGCCAGCCGTGCGTGCAGCCTGTGTGTGGGCCGGCCCAGGGGGGCTGGGGGTGCACCCCAGGCTGACCAAGCTTGGCTCAGAGCCACGGCCATGTCTCGCTGCAGCCGGCAGGCACCTTGGGCCACCGACTCTGCCCCCAGGGCTGTGGGAGACCAAGGCACGCGCACGGCCATCTGGCCACTGCATGTCCCCCTCCTGCCCTGCCCCTCACCTCTCGACCCCCTGCGCCGAGAGGCCCGGAGAGGTGGCTGAGGCCTGGACCACAGCGGGCCCCCCAGGCAGCCCCTTACCTGGCAGGGTGGCGGGCAGCGGCGTTCTCCATCCCGCCCCAGCCGGCCTCCGGGAGTGACCTGCCGAGGGACTTCCTCCCCCTCCCGCCTGTGGCATGGGGAAGTGGCCTCAGGTTCCTGCCGCCTTTCCTGGCTGGCCTCCCACACCGCTGCCCCGGCCCTCCTCTGCACCTCGCAGGGCTCTGGGACAAACGGGGATCCCCTAGCTCAGCAGCTGCGTCGCAGCGTGGGGAAACTGAGGCCAGAGCTGGACGGGCTGGGGGGGCAAGGAAGGAGCAGGCCCAGCTCCTCCCACCTTCGCTTGGGGTGACCGGAGATGAGGGCCAGGAAGGGAGGTGGTGGGGTCGGGCTGGCCAGGATCGAGCCCCCGGGAGAGGCAGCTTCCTCCCTCGGGTCTAGGGGGGCTGGGGCACCTCCACCCTCTTCCTCCGCCACGGCAGCTCTCGCGCTGTGGGGGCTCCGGTGTGTGGGGCTTGGGGGCCGAGCTTCTTGCCACGTCCCCAGGCTTTCCCCATCTCAGCCCTGGGCTCCACACACCCCTGGCCCGGCTGTGGCCCCCAGCCCAGGGCCGTGCTCTGGTCTGGAATGGCCTTTTCTTCCTGTTTGTCCGTCCTCTGTGCTGACCTGCCAGGCAAGAGACCAAAACAGCCTCCCACTGACCAGGCCCCAGGCCGGCCAAGGCCAAGGCCTTGCCTGTCCGGCCCCTCCGACCGCCAGCACCCTTGGCCTCCCCCTGCCTTCCCAGGCCTGTTGCAGAACAGCGGCTGGAGCTGGGGGCCCGTGTCCTGCACCCGCAGTTCATCCTCCAGGGCTCTGCTCCGGCTGTCTGGAAGTGGCATCCCGGGGAAGGTTCCAGAACAGGCTGTTGGAGGGCAAGCTGGGGACAAATCCCAGCAGTCTCGTGTTCCCTGTGCTTCTTCCTTGGCCCCCCAGCTTCGGGCTCTTATGGGAGATGGGGGTCCAGCCTGAGGATGAGCTGAGGTGGGGGCAAGCTGCAGGATGAAGCTTCTTGCCAGAGATGGTGACCCTCCCCGACCCCCAGTTTTCCTCCCGAGAAGAAGGGGGTTTAGCTTTCCGATTGAGACACAGCCGTCTTATTTTCTGCTTTACTTTGTGTGGGGGGGGGGTGCTGGGGAAAACTCTCACTGCTCAGGGGACATCACAGAGTGGAGCTCGAACCCGGCACCTCCTCACGTCAGCACGCGCTCCAGTCCTTTGTGCTAGGCGTGTCCAAGGAGAGCTTGTCCTGTCCCCTTCCTGTTGCCATGGCGCTCGTCTGTAGGATCATTCTCAACTTTGCAGTTGCTGCCATTTAAACATTTCTGGACATGAAATCTCTCTTTTCTTGGTGGCAGGAGGGGACGATGCTGTCAGGGCTGTGGTGTTTCAGCCAGTTCCTTTCGTGGTAGCTTACTGGTTATGTTTTAAGTTATTAATTTCTTTTCTGGAGGGACAGCCAATGATGCTCAGAGGCTGTCCCTGGCTCTGTGATCGGGAGGGACCACTGGGTTGACAGCATTGCAAGGCAAGTGTCTTAACCCTGTACTATCTCTGCAGTCCCTTTATTAGGGGTTTATTTTTGCATTTTCGTTGTGTGCTGATGGTATCAGAAACAAAGGCCCATTTAAATGAATCACCATGAGATACAATTACAGGTTTACAAACTTTCGTGATTACATTTCAGTCATACAATGATCGCGTACCATCCCTCCAACAGTGCCCATTCTCCACCACCAATGTTCCCAGTATCCCTCCTGCCATCGTCCCACACCCCCACCCCCCGTCTCTGTGGCAGGTACATTCCCTTTTACTCTCTCTCCTTTTGGGTGTTATGGTTGGCAATGCAGGTAATAAGTGGCCATCATGTTCAGTCCATAGTCTACTTCCAGCACACATCTCCCATCCCGAGCGAGCCCTCCAAGCATCCTTTACTTGGTGGTCCCTTCTCTATCTCAGTTGCCTTTTCCCCCAGCAGGTGAGACCGGCTCCCAAGTCATGGAGCAGTCCTCCTGACCCTTATCTCTACTATCCTTGGGTGTTAGTCTCCCATTATGTTACTTTATATTCCACAAATGAGTGCAGTCATTCTATGTCCCTCTTTCTCTGACTCATTTCACGTAGCATGTTAATCCACTTATATGCAAATTTCATGACTTCATCTTTTCTAATAGCCACATAGGATTCCACTGTGTATTCCACTGTACCAGAGTTTCTTTAACCAGTCATCTGTTCTCGGGCACTTGGGTTTTTTCCAGATTCTGGCTATTGTAAAGAGTGCTGCAATAAATATACAAGTGCAGATGTCATTTCTACGGTACTTTTTTGCCTCTCTGGGATATATTCCCAGAAGTGGTATTGCTGGGTCAAATGGGATCTCAATTTCTAGGTTTTTGAGAAACGTCCATATTGTTTTCCAAAAGGGCTGAACCAGTTGGCATTCACACTAGCGGTGAAGGAGTCCCATTCTCCTCACATCCATGCCAACACCGGTTGCTTTTGTTCTTTTGGATGTGGGCCAGTCTCTGGTGTGAGATGATATCTCATAGTTGTTTTGATCTGCATCTCCCCGATGATTAGTGATGCAGAGCATTTTCTCATGTGCCTTTTGGCCATTCGGATTTCTTCTTTGAGAAAGTTTCTGTTCATTTCATCACCCCCTTTTCTGATGGGATTGGATGTTTTCTTCTTGTAGAGTTCAACCAATGCCTTGTATATCCTTGATATTAATCCCTTATTGGAGGGGTATTGGGTGAATATCCTTTCCCATTCTGTAGACTGTCTTTGTATTCTAGTCATTGTTTCTTTTGAGGTACAGAAGCTTCTTAGTTTAAGATAGTCCCATTTGTTTATCTCTGTTTCCACTTGTTTGGTCAGTGGCGTTTCATCTTTGAAATGCCCTTAGCTTCGATGTCGTGGAGGGTTTCGCCGTCCTTTTCTTCAATGTACCTTATGGATTCTGGTCTGACTGAGGTCTTTAATCCATTTTGATATCACTTAATCACTTAATCACAACTTCCCGTTAGTCGTCGATTTGCTCGAGCGGGCGCCAGTAACGTCTCCATTTGTCCCTGTCGCGTGCTAGTGTAGCCCAATGGCATCTGTTCGCTCCGGGAACATGAAGGGCCTCAAACCAATCGTTCATGATCTTGACAAAGAACTCTGACCATCTGGTGGGTGGGCGGCCACGCGGTCTTTTGACATCCCGTGGAATCCAGTCAGTAACAGCTCTAGTCCAACGGTCGTCTTTAAATCTCATTACGTGACCAGCCCATCTGATTTTCGACACCTTGGCAAATGAGACAGCGTCCCTGGTTCTTGATCGTCGACGGATGTCAGAACTCCGGATTCTTTCTCTCATTTGAGTGAAACGTGATATTCCAAGCATAGCTCTTTCTATTCTTCTTTGGGAGACCTGAATAGCGTTCTCATCCTGTTTGCGTAGGGCCCAGGTCTCTGAGGCATATGAAGTCATTTTGATATGACTTCTTCAAAGGCCCATTTTGGCACATTGATTTTCATACACTTAGTACACAATTGTACATGTTCTTTTCTTTTTCAAATTAAAGAACTGTGATTTACAAAGTTATTGACAGTTGAGTTTTAGGCATAATATTTCAACACCAGTCGTACCAGCAGTGTCCATCTCTCTCCGCCAGTATTCCCAGGTTCCCTCCCCTGCCCTCCATCCCCGCCTGTCACCGTGACAGGCACACTACAGAGTTCCAGTGGCTGCAACTTAGTCTCATGTCTCAGTGTTGCTGTGTCTGTTTCAGATGTTTGGCTCGGCCCCTCCCCCAGATCACCCAGTATCTGCCATTCTCTTCTGCCCCCCCTTGATTTCTTTCCTTCTCCGTCCTTCTCTCTAAACACCGAGGCCAAGGGTGAGCTTGGCCCCCCTTTGCCCCATGTCCTCCCCAGTGTTCTAAGGCCACGGAGAAGTGTGAGCATCCTTTTCAGTGGCATAATGAAAGACACACCTAGTCCCAACTTGTCTTTACTTTAAAGAGCTTTGCCAATTAGTCACTTATGAGTCTCGGACCCAGCGTGCCTGCCGGCCGCTTCCCATCTCTAGTTCTCCTAGTCCGGCTCCGAGCAAAGGCATGCCAGCAGGTTTGTCCTTTGGATTCTCTGTCCTCGTCCCCTCGTTGGCTCTGGCCATGCAGTTGGCCTGCCCTGCTCTTGCTCTGAGTTCAGCGTCTCCTTTTAGCTGGAATTCCACGTTGGGTCTCCGCGTGTCTTTCCGCTCCACGGGGCTGCCTGCGAGTCCTGCAGCTTCTCAGGCCACCAGTGTCTGCCCGTTGGCGGGTGCACAGCAGATTGTGTTTGCTGAAGGTAGCCCCAACAAGCTCTCCCGTCCCACATGCTCCCCTGGAGCCATGCCTTGCACCCTCCCCCTCAGAATCTGGGCAGGCTGGGAGCCTCGGGGAGAGTCCCTGGCGGGGCCAGCGGGGGCTAATGCTCAGCCTGTCCACTTCAGCCCTTGTGTTTCCAGAACGGGAGTGTTTGGGCCACCCCTGGCAGTGCTCAGGAGCGACTCCCAGTTTGGTGCTTGGGGGTCCCTCTTGGAGTTCTGGAGATCAAATCCAGGCTTGCAAGGCCTTATCCCAACCCATGGAGCCGTCTCCCGGACCCCTTCCCGCAGTCTTGTGAGAGAGCAGACGGCGCATGCTCAGGGAGTCAAGGCCTTCGCGGAGGGGCCCAGCACAGGCTTTGAGTGCAGTGACCCACAGCACAGAACTGGGAGTAGCCGCTGGGCACCAAACCCGAATGAGGAAAACCAACCATTTATTTATTTATTTGCTTTGGGGCCACACTGAACTGAGCTTAGGGGACCCTGTGGGGTGCTGGAGATTGAAGCCCAGTTGGCCGCGTGCAAGGCAAGCCACTTAGCCACTGTCCTATTGCTCCAGCCCCACAATCTGATATTTTCAACACACTCTAACGGTGCTCTGAAGGCAGGAGATCCAGAGAGTGCTGGAATGGTAACTAAAGCCAAGTTTGAGGAAGGAATCATTTGGAAGCGGTGATCAAATGGC